TAAAAAAAAAAATTTCTTTTAGTCAAGTGTGGTGCCACATACCTATTTTATAGAAGGCCGAGGCAGAAGAATTGTAAGTTTAAGCACAGGCTCGTGTCTTAGTGAGATACTGTGTCAAAAATAAAGAATGGGAGATGTTGCTCAGTGCAGAGGCCCTGGGTTCTGTCCCCAGTACCACACATACACACACGCGTCCTAAAAAACCAACACAAAAATCTCTTGCCATAAAGATATTTTTTTGCTCTCAATCCGTTGAGTAAAGAGTAGTACTTAGTACTATGTATTACCAGCTTTGTAATGATTTAGTTGTATTTTGATAACCTGTTGTTGAATTTTGACCCTAGAGAACTATATTTTTGTATGGGAGTGTGGATAGTTGTATTATAAACCAGAAGCATTTTTAAATTTTGCTGCATGCTAGATTACCCTGTAATTTTTATTTCTTAATAACATAATCCAAAATTTTATTTATTTATTTATTTTTGTGGCATGGGCGATTGAACTTGGAGCCGCAATTATGCCACTGAGGTATTTCCCTGGCTCTAGAAATCATTTCTATTGATTTAGAATACACTTTTTTTTTTATAGTAGTTGTTTTACTTAATTACAAGCATATGGGATGTTTTGGTTTTATTTGTTTTGAAGACAGAAAACCCATATGTAGTCCTGCTTGTGGGTTATTGTGCTATACAGTGAGTTCCAGAACTATATGGCACAGGTAGGCCTTGAACTTGGAAGTCCTCCCTCGGCTTTTTTTTTTTTTTTTTTTTTGTGGAACCAGGGATTGAACTCGGGCCCTTGCGCTTGCCAGGCAAGCGCTTACTCTACTAAGCCATCTCCTCGGTCCAAAGAAACCACATTTTTTTTTTTTTTTAGGGAAAGATCTACAGGATGTTCAGGGTCTCACTACTAGATCGGACTTGTAGTTATCTGCCTGTTTACAGTGTCCAAAGAGCTGGGATTACAGGCGCGTACTACCGTGCCCAGTCTCAGTTGCTGTTTCAGTGCACCCCAGGGGTGGGGCTGGCACGACAGGCCCAGGGATTGAACCCCTGGCCCCTGTGCCTGCTTGCAGGAGCTTTAATCCACTGAGCTATTTGGCCAGCCCTCCCCCAGCTTCTTAATGATATTTGTTGCACTACTATACCTCTGTTAATTTGTGTTTTTTAAGGGCCTACACATTGGAAAAATTTGACTTTGATCCATTAAAGAAAGGGAAATGGCTTAAGGAATAAAAGTTTGCCTTGATCTGTATTCAGAAACCTGTGTGTTTATGTTTGTAGCATCTTTCATTGCAACTAAAATGCAGAAACAAAATTTTAGCAAGTGCAGAGACTAGGGTGTAATCCTCAGTTTTGTATTCTGCACCGTCCCTGCCCCTGGGGTATACTGCACTGTGACCAACCTGGCATGGTGGCACATACCTATAATCCCAATGCTGGGGAGGCTGAAAAAGAGGATCACTACGAGTCTGAGCTGTGTTGTGAGATCCTGTACTAAATACTAAATACATAAAGATAGACGGACGGACGGACGGACGGATAGATAGATGGATAGATGAAACAACGTGGAAGTCTGTGAGTTGATAAGTGGATAAAAACTATCTACTTGTGTATAATTGTATGTTCATGGAACAGACTGTTTGCAGTAAAAATTCCTGGAGTTATGCTAAGTAAAAGAAGCCACTTATGAAAAACCTCACGTAATGTTTCTATGTATAGAAGATGTCCAGAAGAAGCAGATCACTAGAGACAGAAAGAACATTAGTGGTGGTAGGGGTAGGGTGGGAATACAGGAAGTGACTACCAGTGTTTTGTTTGTTCTTTTTTGTCTGTGCTTGAGATTAGTTCCAAGCCTCATGCATGCTAGGCAAGTGGTCTTTGAACTACATTCGCAACCTCAGCACTTCTCTTGAAGAAGATGAAAACATTCCAGTATTAGTAGTGATGATGATTGCACAACTCTGAATATACTAAAAATCAGTAAATTATTAAAAAGGGTGAACTTTTTATTATTAATTTTATTGAGAAACAAACAGCAGTGAGACAGTTTCAAAGCTGATTAATAGGACAGTTTCAATAATTAATACATTGCATATTGTCTTCGTAGTGGTTAAAAAGGGTGAACTTTATGGTATGTGAATTTCAAAGCAACTATAAAAATTAATCTCAGATTATGCATAATACAAACATGCACACATGCATAATAAAAATTTTTTGAGGGTGGCAAAGTAAATTGATAAACTCTTCAGTCTACTATAGTATTTGAAGCAAAGGATGGTATGACTTACAAGGAATCTTAATTTGCTTCTCCAGCAACTGAACAGACTAACATTGGATCATTTTATGTTCTAAGAAACAGTTCCATTATGTTAAACAGTGTTCTTTAGATGGATGATTTTTGATAAATAATTTCTTTAAATAGGCCAGTCTTATGAAATTCGGATGTTGGATAATCGGAAAATGGGAGATATGCCAGAGATCAGTGGAAAATTGGTAAAGGTAAGGACAGTCTATTTTAATTCTTAACATTTTGCAGTGATTGAATAAAGTAGCAGATTGAATAGAGTTTTTTATTTTTAAAAAATTAAAAAATTTCAAATCAAATAATGAATACATTAAATCTTTTTTTTTACTTATTTTAACAATGTTTTGCTTATTCGTGTAAAATGAGAATTACAATTGTTATTGAGAGCAAGGAGCAGTATGAAAGTTACTTACAATTACAGGTGTAAAAAACCACCAGTACAACAAAAGATTAAACATTTTATTAAAAGTAAAAGATAATGTGCATATAAGGGCAATATATGTGTTAATGTAAAATACTTTGTACTTCTTAAAATTTTATCAAATAAAATCTGAAGTTGTGTTAGAAGCCAGTCATCTTAGGTATAAGAGGTGTGGCCATTGTCTGGTCAGCCTTTTAGGTCTGTCTTCACAACTGTCCCTACTCTTTCCTGTGTTTAGCCTCTGGCTGTCATGCACCGGAGTTTGTAATAAATTTCTCAGCATTACAGGGTAGTGTTCATAAGAAGAAGCTCATTTGGGGAAAGGCAACAAATTTTTTTTTTTTTACATTTTGTGTGTGTGTGTGTGTGTGTGTGTGTGTGTGGCCAGCTCAGCCCACCAGGGGGCGGTGCTGGCTGGCATGTGGTACTGGGGGATCGAACTGCAGTCCCTGTGCTTTGCCAAGCTTGTTCGAAGTAGGTGCTTTAGACCACTGAGCCATCTCTCCAGCCCCAAGGCAACAATTTTTGTATCTAGCTTTTTTTTTTTTTTTTTTTTTTGAGAAACCAGGTATCAAACTTGGGACCTTGTGCTTGTGAGGCAGGCACTTATGCCACTGAGCTATCTCCCCAGCTCTAAAAGGCAACAATTTTTAATGTTAACAAGAAGCAAGTCAAGATCCTTTCAACTTCCCACAGAATGGCACATTATGGCCCAGGGGCTGCTGGACCCTAAGTACAGAGTAGTGTTTCATTGAGAAGGCTCCCTTCTGTGGGTTATTGTAGAGGGTGAGCATGAGAAAGGCGGCCTTGTGGAGAGAATAGGTGCTTGGACTGCTTTATGATGCACAGTCTGAATTTGGTATACCCACTAGGGGAGCCAGCTGCCCAGCACCTAGAGACCTGACAGAAGAGCCTTTGATATATTTTAGTACTCCTTTTATTTCTGGGGACAGGAAGATCCATCCCTGTAGGATGGTGGGCTTAGTTCTTTTCTTTCTCTGTGAGAGAAAAACAGGAGATCTGATCCTCACTGGATTGTTATTTTGCCAGCTCAGAATGGGATGCAAAATTTCCTCATCTGACTGTTGGGGCTTCTGACGTAGCGATACTTTCTCATAGTTACTATAGACACTTTGGTTCTGTCTTGTGTATACCTAATCAATCAGTGGAGTTTTTCATTTCTATAGAGGATATAGTGGGAGAGACTGTTATCTCCCCACCTGCCTAGCTTTCAGGTATGTTACAAACACAGTTGGATCCACTGTTTTAAACACTCATGATAGGGCTGTAATCTGTGATGATCTTCACTGCCGGGAGGCTCAAATTTGAATTCCGTATCTGATGTTAAACAGCTAACCACTGGTGGTTGATGCTATCCACTGGGACAGCCAAACATGTACTGGTGGTTTAAGTCAGTAGGAACGTGTTAAGAAAAAGTCATGAGGGAGCCAGGCCCAGTGTCTCCTGCATCAAATCCTAGTACTTTGGGAGTTTGAGGCAGGAGGATGGCAGGTTCAAATGTGGGATGAATAATTTAACAAACCCTGTCTTAAAAAAATAAAGGGCTAGGTAGGTAACTCAGTGTGAAGGTCCTGGGCTTACTCTCCAGTACTGTAAGACAAACAAACGTTAACAGCATTATTCACAGTGAGCAGGGCCTACTTGAATTGGCTGTGCTTTGCTATAAAGACAGTTATTCATATTTTGATCAAGGACCCATGCTAGTAGCTCTTGGTTCCTACTGTCTAGAAAGCACAGGAAATGTTGATGGTTCTCTGCATCCTTTGGTCCCTTCTGGCTTCTTGCTGTCAGTCACCTTTGGGCAGATCTGGTAGTTGTTTTATACCTGGCCAAAATTCAAGCAAAAAGTGTTCGTTTGCTTTTTTTTTTTTTTTTTTTTTTTAGAAGACGGCATACGAGATGTTGCGGCGTGACTGGAGTTCAGACGTGTGCTCTTCCGATCTATATATTTTTTTGTGTGTAGTGGTACTGGGAGCTGAACCCAGGGAGTGCTGAACTACATTTTTTTTTTTTTTTTTTTTTTTGTAGTGTTGGAAATTAAACCCAGGACCTCACACATGCTTAGCATCCACCAGTAACCTACATCTTTAGCCCTAGTAATATATTTTTTAAGGGGAAGATGTGTGCCACTGGGAAAATTACGTTTGCTAACTAACATAAATTTGATTTTTCTTAGAAATACATCATTGTAAAAAGGTTGAAAAATTGTTTTATAGATTCTGCAGTAAAATCGAATAAGACTCAACAAACCTTGTGCTGAGGTCTTTAAAACTAGATCCAAAAATGTTACAGCACTTTTTAAAATCATTTATCTATTTATTTATTTGTTTATTTGGTGTGGGGTCTCGCTATGCAGCTCAGGTTCATAGTGATCCATCTGTCTTAGTTTGCCCAGTGCTGGGATTACAGATGTGCGCCACCATGCCCCATTTCAGTGGCTGGCTCTGTGCCTAGGGTTCCCTGGCCTGCGCAGCATGCAATACTGGGAATCAAACCCAAGTCCTTGTGCTTGCCAGACAGGTGCTTAGGCTGTGAGCTATCTCCCCAGCTCTTAAAACAGTTTTTTAACCTTTTACGATGGCATAATTTTTACATATACAGAAGTAAAATGGTATAGTTAATGCTCATATATGTATCATGTACACGTGATAAATAACATCTGTATCATGAGTTTTCATCCTGGGTTCTCTCAACCCACTTAAACAGCAACAGTTTGGTACACCTGTTTTATCTGTTCTTGCTTGTGATTTTTGTGTGTGTGCTGGGCTGTATAACTCACTGATTTCATTAGTTTAATAGAATTTATCATTCATGACCATTTGACATTTTGAGAAAAATAAAACAAGCTTTCATATCCAGATCAAATAGTGAAAACTTCCATCAAAGCATTGAATTAAAACAGTTGGAGGTACAGTGCTGGGGAGATAGCTTAGTGGCATAAGCACCTGCCTGGCAAGTGCAAGGTCCTGAGTTTGATACCTGGTATCAAAACAAACCAACAAAAAACAAAAACATTGCTGGTAGTTCTTACTTATCACTGAAAATAAACTGGCTTTCTAGGCCAGTTCCTAGAGTAAGTGATAAGATTTATTTTGTTTTTGAGACAGGGCCTTGCTTTGTGTGTAGTTCAGAGTGGCTTTGAACACACTGTATAGCCCAGGCTGGTCTCAAACTCTTGGCAGTGCTCCTGCCTCAACCTTAAGATTTAGAAATAACTAGTTTGATAGATGAAACTTAATGTTTAAAGTATTTTTGGCAAGCTAGTTAAATATGTCTGACAAACTTGAGAGTGGTAGGGTTAATCAATTAAATTGTTTTTCAGCTTCATTGAATTTACTTCCAAATGAAACATCAAAAAAAAAAAACAATATGAGGTGAGGGTATATAGGTCAATGGTAGAGTGCTTATCTGGCACACTTGAGGCCATGGGTTCTGTCTCTAGTACTGCATAAATAAATATATACGTATATACTTGAAATTAGTTGTTTAGATTACCAGAGAAACCTGCAAAATTGATTTTAAAGACGTTATAAGAAATTAAAAAGAAAAAAAAATCTAATTTTTTTTTTTTTCCTAGCTTTGAGACCAGTGCTTTATCCATTATACGACATGCAAATCTCCTGTAACGTATATAAAGACACAACAACCCTGGGGAGTAACTATAGGGACTTCTCCTGCAGCAGCTTGGTACAGTCAAATGACCAACGATGATGGGTTTTTTTTTCCACATTTTTATTTTTTTAATTTTTTTTCTTTTTTTATTATTTTTTTATTTTATTTTTTATTGAGAAATAAATATAAATGAGACAGTTTCACAACTGATTAATAGGACAGTTTTGATAATCAATACATTGTACATTGTTATCTTCTTAGTGGTTATCCATAGCACAAGTAGCAAACAGGATATTCTGTCCAAACACTGTTGGTACACCTCTTTCTTCTCATTGAATTAAGCAAAAGTAGCTATAAACCGATCCTAACTATTCTGTATATATAAATACAAAATGATCTTTCCTTTATATCCTTTTTTTTTTGTCCTGTCAGAGATGAATATTCTACTGGCATCTAAATAAATTTTTTTTTTTTTTTCAGAACCAGGGATTGAACTCAGGCCCTTACACTTGCCAGGGAAGCGCTTATTCCACTGAGCCATCTCCCTGGCCCCTAAATAAAACAATTTTAAACATTAACTGTAATCATTGTCAAATTCCTTTTGCTTTGTTTAATGAAATTTTGTATTTTCTTTTACCAGTTTGTAGTCTTTAAAAAATTAAAATTAAAATAAATTAGAAATTCATTGCAAACGTCCTCAATAATAAATCAATAAATAATTGCATTTTTAAAAAATACATAAAACTAATTGGAGTGAGGAAATATAGGTGTCACTTCATCTGAAGGTAATTAGTCATTGGCAGAGAAACCATCCAGCTATAAATGCACAGTGAACGTTCTGCTGATATCATACTAGTGTATATAAACATTTAGCCCACTGAATAAAAGAACTTTTGAAAGCTCTCACTCACATACCCAATGTTTGTTGAATGTGCCAGACTACATCCAGTTACATAGCCTGAGATAACTACTGTCTGTTACTACCAAGGACTGTAGGAGGAGTTTCTTGGAAATCATGCACACCTTTCTTTAGCTAGATCCTCAAAGTACACTACAGTTTTCTAGACTTTTTATTTACTGGCCCTTTAATGTTCAGCTGTGCTACTTAAATTTGGGGGGTACCCTGGGGAACCACTGATAAGTTCTCAGAGGTGGTTTTTGGACTTCTTGAATGTGCTGAACATATTCAGTGATGGGTTTTCACAGGTTTGTCTTAATGATAGGGTTCCTTTGTGTATTGTTAGTTCTGTCTCCTTTAGTCAGAATTTCCAGATAACAAGTTTCTCCCAGTTTTCTTTTATATCTTGCATTTTCTTAACTTTGTTCTTTTTATCCTCTTTACTGTACTGTCTTAGTTTGACATTCTGGAATGAGATTTAATAAACTTGTAAATCTAACATCTATATTGTCATTATTTTCATCTGGATGTGGATTTAGACTAGTTATTACTGAACAAATAATAATCATAGTAATGATAATTTCTGTGCATTGCTTTTGTTTTGAAGAGAAAGGAGCTACCAAATGGGAGACCCACTTTGGTTTGCAGGACCCCACTGGCCCATGCTCGGCTGCTCTGAGAGCCTTACTGCCACCTGGTGATGGTAGAAAGTGTGTGCTGGTGGTTGTTGGGGCAGGCCCTGCAGACGGGCAGGTAGGGGAGATGGGCATAATCAGATTGGCAGCTGAACTACAGACTTCTGTATTGATTCTAGCTGCTTACTTGGCCTCTTTTAACAACCTAAACAGACAAAAAAAATGCTACTTTTAAATAGTTTTGTGCAAAATAATAGCTGTTTTTATTTCATTTACTTTTTAAATTTTTTGGTCTTTTAAGACAGGGTCAGGGCTGGTCAGGTAGCTCAGCAAACTAAAGCACCTGCTTAAGCAGAGCATGGTGCCAGGATTCAATCCCCAGTGTGCCAGGCCGGCCCCGCCCCCAGGGTGTGCTGAGATGGCAGCTGAGACTGGGCGCAGTGGCGCGCACCTGTAACCCCAGTGCTTGGGAGGCTGAAAATAGAATCACTACAAGTCTGATCTACGTAGTGAGGCCTGTAGACCCTGTACCAAATGTACCCTGAGTCCCAGGGTAATCTTAAACTCCTTCCTAGTAGTCCTCCTGCCTTAGCATCCCAAGTGCTGGGATAACAGGCATGTGCTACCACCATGCCCAGTGGGCAATGTTTTTGTATAATATTTAAGGAGTGGGGAAAGCAGGTTCACTTAAATAGTATTTATATGTATTGCTACAAATGATTTCTGCTCACTGCAGTCTAGGAAGATATATTTATTGCATCATAGTCTTAAGTTATTTATAAATGTGTCAGAAACATTAAATATGGTGTTGAATGCATTTAATTGCTTGTTTTTTTGTTCTGCAATGAAGTAGTGGTTGGTGTCCCAAGCCAATGGGAGGTGAAGGAGGCATGAGTAAAGAACAGAAAGTTGGTCTAGAGTTTTCAGAGTTAAAGCCTTACCTAGGAGTTTAAGCGTTTGAATATAATTTATCTGTATTTTTTTCTTTGTTTACTGTAAATTAATCTCATTTGGAAGTGAAATAGTTCCATATGGGGGCCAGGGTTGTAACTCAGTAGTGGAGGACTTAAGTAGTATATGTGATGTACAAAATGTTTAGTTGCCAGCACCACAAAACCAACAAACATTTTTTAAAAATAGTTGAGAGGGCAGGCCAAATAGCTCAACAGATTAAAGTGCCTGCAAGCAAGCGCTGGGGCTGGGGGTTCAATCCCTGTTCCTGCCGTACTAGCCCCGTCTCCAGGTGCTCTGAGACAGCAGTTGAGACTAGGCATGGTGGTGTGCACCTGTAATCCCAGGTTTGGGAGGCTCTAAACAAGCAGATCACTATGAGTCCAATCTAGTAGTGAGACCCTGAACACCCTGTAGACCCTTCTGTAAAATACAAAATAAATAAATCAATAATAATAGTTGAGAATGAATTTTGTATTAGGCTTTCTTTTAGAGAGAAGTGAAGAGGGTTGTTTTTTGGGATTTTTATTTGTTTGGTTTTTGTTGTTCTTTGTTTTGGCCAGTTAGAATAACTGTCTTTTTTTTTTTTTTTCCTTCCTGAACTGGGGATTGAACTCAGGCCCTGTGCTTGCCAGGCCAGCACTTACTCTACTGAGCTATCTCTCCGGCCCCTAGAATGACTGTCTTATTAAAGAAACTTAAAATGATTAATGGTTATTTTATTTTATTTGGTTATCTTTTTGCAGGAGGATCTGACTATATAGTTTAGGCTGGCCTTAAACTCACTGTAGGCCAAGGTGGCCCTCAACTCTCAGTGATCCTCCTGAGTATACATGTCCAGCTTGATTGACTTGTTTTAGTTTAAAACAGTTATGTCATTTTGCCTGGTATTATCTGTCTTTGTTTTCATAACTTGTGTATCTAGCATAAAAACGTGATTTTTACTCACTAATCTTATGGACATGTATGTTGAATTTGAATTGCAATATCAACATCTTTTATAAAATACTGCACCTGAATAACCTTTGTACTAGTACTTTTCATTTGGAGTCTGTAATTCTTTGCACCAAATAAATATGTCATAAACCAAGTATATAAGGGAAAAAAAAGTGCACTTATAGGAATGGTGAAAGCAGAATAGAATGTTTTTGTGCTCATCTATTGTAGGTTAATACATAATGTCTAAGTGTTTTAGCTGGAGTGGTTTGAAAGTGTTCATTTTCCTACTTACTCCACAGAGCATCATAAGGGTTGTATTCCACGACAGAAGGCTGCAGTACACAGAGCATCAGCAACTTGAAGGCTGGAAATGGAATCGCCCAGGAGATAGACTGCTTGATTTAGGTACAGGCAGTGGACAGATGCCATGGAGATGAGGACCCTATTGAGCTATGCCCATTAATGTGTTGGCGTCATGTAACTGTGTGGAGAAAGTATTGGTGTTAGTAGATTCTGTGCCTTGAGAATTGTTTCATACTTAAAAGTGGTTTTTTTGGTGCTGAACTAGACTGAACCAAGAATCTTATGATTTTGAAACTATTTGAAGTCTCAGTTGGTATCTATCAATCATATTTTTAATAAAACAAAGTAACACCATGGTAGGAGAAACTAAATCTTGTTAAGTAGATTTTGATAGTGAAGGCAAGGTTGACCATGGAGAACTTTGAAGGGAAATATTCAACATGGATACAATTATTTCCTTATAATGCTGTATATTAAATGATAAGATGGTTTTTTTGTTTTTTTGCTTTTTGAGTTGAGGCCTAACTGTGTTATTTAGGCTGGTCTTCAACTGCTGGGCTCAAGTTCTTCTGCCTTAGCCTCCTCAGAGTAGCTGGGATTACAGACATGCAACAACACTCCTGGTTTCAGTTTTAGGATTCTTTAATTATTTGAAATGGATGCATTTTTATATGCCTTCTTTTTATAATACAGATATTCCAATGTCTGTGGGGATAATTGATACAAGGACAAATCCAAGCCAGTTAAATGCGGTTGAATTTCTGTGGGACCCTGCAAAACGCACATCTGCTTTCATTCAGGTTTGGATTTTTATATTATAAAGAACACAGTGACCAAGTCATTTAGGTCATAGTGAGATTTTAATTCATGACATGATATTTTTTAAATGTTCATTTTATAACTTTATGTTAATGTGTTTTTTCTTTACATAGTTAATATGGGTTTAATCAGTCAGATTTTAGATATATGAAGACTAAGTAATATAAAACATTTAAACTTTTTCATTAGTCACAATAATTAAAATATCTTTTACATGATGTATTTGTCTTGAACAAAAACCGCCATTTAAAAGAATAAGACTAAAAAAAATTATGTCTTTAAGATTCTTTCTAGTATTATTTAAAATATTCTAATCCTGGGGGCCGGGGAGATGGCTCAGTGGAATAAGTGCTTCCCTGGCAAGTGCAAGGGCCTGAGTTCAATCCCCGGTTCCGCAAAAAAAAAAAAATTAAAATATTCTAAGCCTGAAAAATTCTAGCCTTCACTATTAGATAGTGGAGACTTCTTCATGTACACATCACCTGGCTGCAAAAATTAATAGTTTTTCCCGTTTTTGTAGTTTTTATTTTCAAAACAAAACCTATACATATTTCTTCAGTAAATACCATGTATAAGATACATTTTTTAAAAATGACATTATAAATTATTACATGTTTCAAAACCCCAGCAATTCTAATATCTGGGTTTTGTGATAGAATTTAAACTGCTGAGTAGATAGTTTTTATAATAGAGAAAAATCCTTTTATTTGCTGACCAGCCTAACTAGTTTTCGTAGTTTATATCAACTGAAAAGAATCAATTAGTTTTGTACATTTTGGTGGTCTACTAAATATTCCCCATCGGTTAATATGATTCATTTTAGTTGAATGGCAATATGAGAAAATACTCTCGTTGATGTTTGTCCATACAATAATTGGTAATGCAGCAGACTGTTAATGAGAGCTGCCTCTCTTGGGTTGTACTGTCATATTGTAGAGATCAGTTTTTATATCCTGAGTCATTTCAAAGAGAATATGCATAGCAGTCAGAAATGACCATAATCTTACTAAGTCTGTGTAGTGCCTTGAGGCTTTTTTGTGTGCTGGGGTTCTGGACTGCTGAAGTTCGCCAAGCAAAGTATCACTATGTGTGTAGGAGCAACAGTAAGACTATGTACAACATGGGTAATGGCGGTAGATAGCGAATAACAGATGAGTAGGAATGATGAAGTCATGAGTGCTGTGGGTTGTGTAGGATTTAGGGCCCTGAGTCTTAGTAGCAGCTGCTCTAGGGTGCACTGGTGGCATGCATGGACCCTGGTGCTCTTCCAGTTGGGGCAAGTCCTGCATTGGAGGAGAGGCATCACAGTGGGAAGAGCTTGTTCTCAGCACCGAAGCAGTTGGCTTTCTGAAAGGAAACACTGTAGTAAAACAATTAGGGACGTTCGTGAGAGAAAATTGGGCTGATTTGTGGACATGCATTTTGAGGATCTTGAATGGATAGCGATGGCCAGGCAACCAAGAGGGAACAAAATAGAAAGGCAGTCACTGAAAAGTGCTTTGAATCCATTTCATCTTGAGTTTTTTTATAGGTACACTGCATCAGCACAGAATTTACTCCACGGAAGCATGGAGGTGAAAAGGGAGTGCCTTTTAGGATTCAGGTTGACACCTTTAAGCAGAATGAAAATGGGGAATACACAGATCATCTTCACTCGGCTAGCTGCCAAATCAAGGTTTTTAAGGTAAGAAGTAGAAACCAGGCTGGCAGTAATTAAACTCATTTGTGCTTGTAAAGCATTTTGCAGCCTAATGAATTAAATAATCGACTTTGTTTTTAAGCCCAAAGGTGCAGATAGGAAACAAAAAACTGACCGAGAAAAGATGGAAAAGAGAACAGCTCATGAAAAGGAAAAGTATCAGCCATCGTATGATACTACCATCCTCACAGAGGTAATGTGGCGCTGCATTTGATTTTGAAGAGAAGCAGAGGTTTGCATATTAGCAGTACCTCTCAGATGAGTTTCCTGATAAAGGGGCTGGGGAAGATTGGGTGGTAGACTGACATGTTCTTTGAGAATTTTTGGGGGTAATCATTTATATAAATTTTGGGATTTTTATGACTTAGTTTCTTGGGTGGGATCTTGAATGAAGATGCTGAAATCCCAAATTATGTCTCAGAAATAGACCTTAAAACCTTGAAGTTGACAAAAGATTTAAGTTGGGGCCTAGAATGTCCAATTTTTGTCACTGCTGGGGTTTTGCATTTTCTTTAACTTTGAATCCTGTTAGTCATACATTTGTTTAATAAAAACTGCAGAGACATGAAACAGGGTAATTAGATCTTTCTTTGTATAATGAAAAGACATTGATCCCAATCTTTGGTGTTTGTCCAGATGAGGCTTGAGCCTATAATTGAAGATGCAGTTGAACATGAGCAGAAAAAGTCCAGCAAGCGGACTTTGCCAGCAGACTACGGTGATTCTCTGGCAAAGCGAGGCAGTGTAAGGGACTTCTGCTTCTCTTTTCATTGTGCAAGAAACCTTGTGCAGTGTTAGATATAGGACCAACTTCTGAAAAGTAAAGCCAAAATTGTTTTTGATGTCCATGTCTTGATTTAATTTGCTTTTGTTTAGACTGCCTGCTTTCTGTTTGTTCCTCACTGAGGAAAACTTCCTAAATCTAACACTTAAAAACAAAGCAAAAACAATGTTGACCATATTGGGTGGTGTTAGGGGGGAAAAGACATTCAGAGATACTTGTTCCCTCCTTGTCCACTTCCCCCTTCCTCTCTTCCCTCTTTAATCCTTCACACATACACCTCTTTCATGAGCACTGAAATTAAGCGAAAATACTTTCATTATTAAGTTATCTTAAAAATAGTTATGATTTTTGTGTAATTAAAAAGGTTTTGCTTTTCTCACTTACCTCATAAAAATTTTTTATAGGTACTTAAATGATGGCAGCAAGTTTGACATTAACATGTGCAATACTCTGTCACATTTCCCTGCATGCAATATAAGTGTGTGTCTGTATGTGCTTTTAAAAGCCTAGTTGGCAGCACTTAAGGAAAAAAATCATTGAGTGCATTAGTGTTTCCTCTTGGTGCCTGCATTGTGACTTAATGCTTCAGGCCAAAGTTGTGTACCTCACTACACGCAAACCCAGACCCCTGACAAGCAGTCAGGGGGCTTTTGGTTTAGATGAACTTTGTCAGATTAAATATAGCTAATCTTCAGCACACCATTCTTGATGTTACAGTCTACAAAGGGTTATTCTATTTTGTGAACTTAGCTCAGTTATGTACCTTCAGTAAATATAAACACAGAGTAATACATTTAAAAAAACAACTGATAACGTGTATTGACGAGTACTCTATTATTGAAGTATTTGTACTGTTAAGGTGCCAAAAAATAGTTTTTTGACTCTTGGACAAATATCTTGTAGCGGTGATTAACTATAGATTGAAAGTCACTGTCATAGTCACTGTCTGTCTCATGGACACTTATCACAAGATCCTTATTTACAATTTAAAGCATTGAGTAAAAATGCTTTAAATGCTTCTTTATGCAATAAAGTTGAAAGTGTTCTTATATTAGTACCATAAGGAGCACACTTTATTTATGATTTTCTTGAACTGGGCTTTTTATAGATTTAAATCAGATTGTTAGAATCACTGAATATCCATCCACAGAGTACTCACCTCTTTGATGTAATATTTTCATCACCTTCTGATTTCCCAACAGAAGACCCACAAATATTCTTAGTAAATTTGTTTGGTGGTGGGCAATCCTAGCAAATGAAATTTTAGCTAATTTAAAGAAATTGTTCCATCAGTGCATAAAAAACCTGTTAAGGCGCAGAGCTAATCTGAAGATGAAGAGGTTGTCATTTCTTAATGACTTTTAACTCAAGTCTAAAGTATGCAAAACGTCAGCAGTTCACTGGCCTGGGATTTCACATCTTTTTAGTGTGGTATTTGCTGCCCTGTGTTTGGTTTGGGCAGGATGCTTCTACAAGTGGTTAGACCTCATCTGGAAAACCTGTTAGCAAGGGCAGATTGATCCCTCAGAAGAAAATGTCTGGAGCATTTCATACACATTTTAAATGTTCAAAAGGAAGGCTGGCATTTCTTGCAGTCTTTGGACAGTTGTACTTCACTTTCAGTAAAAGATGTGTCCAGATTTATTGTTAAAAATCTAAAAGGTATTGGATAAAACAGTGCCACACTGCTCCTGTTTCCCAGGAGGTGTTGCACAATGAAACCTTTGGTATATCTGTTGATCTTTGATTGGCTCACATTAAGGCTGGCAGTTTGTACAGCCTGAAGTGAATCATCACTCTTAATATGCTTGGGGAGATACTGTTGTCACAGTATACTAGAATTAACTTTAGGAGTCTAGGCCATTGCTAAAACCTTTATGAATTACAGACTGTTATCAGAAACAGAAGCACTTTACTATTGCTTTTTTTTTTACAGCCTACTTGGCTGTGGGTGCACCGCAGAGGTAAAATGCTGGTTTAGCATGTATAGGGCTGTGGGTTTGATTTATAGAAAGAGAAACAAAGTAAAATAGCAGTGCTCTGGTATTGCTGCAAGAATCTGCATATGTAAAAAGTCAAACGGGATTTGTATGGATACAGTGTGAATAAATTTGGTGTCTCTTGTCTTACTATACCATGCTTAACTTGAGGCTTTTTGATGACTTCACTTCCTCAAATAGTTGGCAAAAATTACCAAAATGATTTGGGAGGCTTTTTTTTTTTTTTCTTTTTGCGATGGCCTCACTATGAAGTTCAGTCCGACCTTGAACTCAGTATGTAGTAGGCCACGCTACCCTTGAACCTGTGGCAGTACTCTTGCCTCAGCTTCTAGAGTGGTGGGATTAACAGGCACACGCCACCACACCCAGCTCAATCTTTTTAATATTAACATATTTGGATATGTGTTTTTTTTTATAATATTTTGTATCAGGCAAGGAAGATGATATAGCAGGAAAATCTGGAGATCACAGTGAACATGTGACACTGGAATGATTAGATATGTTAGTCAACACACAAGCTTGGATTCCTCAAACTCTAAACCGAGGAGGTGATACTGTGGTGGAAAGAAAAACAGATGCCTTGGTTTCAAAAGAATAGGCATTGTTGTTTGAAGAGTCATTTATAGTGAGATTAATATGCATACAGTAAGTTTAGCAAAGCTATCCAGCCAGATTAAATTTCTTTCTTTCAAGTCAACTGATAATGATTGAAACAGTGTTGAAATTTTTTTCTTTTCTTTGTTTTTGAGGGACTACATAATTGAATAGTTGCAAAGATTACTATCCGGGGATTTCTATTTTCTTTTCCTGTGTCTGTTCTTTTGATAGTGGTTAGCTACAGATTTTAAGCCCCCATAGTCGTTGGTGAGACTTGTGTTAACCGTTGGGGGGGCTTCAGAGTTTCTTGGCTCTGTCAGACTATTGTTTTGGCAGTTCCTATTCAGAATAATTTTGAAGAAGGACATACTCGCACATTTTCAAGTGGACCTCTGAAAGATATAGTCAAAACCTTAAACAATTGCAAAAAAAGCCAGTTTTCTGACATGGTGAATACTTGTATTTATCTTATAATCTAAGAAAAATTGTGATATAGTAAATCTCTGGCTTAATGAACATTTTCACTGCAAACTTTCACAGGTGTACAATATAAGACTCACTTTGTCAGACTTAGGAATATTCTCCCAGAAGGGAATTCATTTGTAAGTTGGCAACTTACTATATTATTCTTTAATGTGTATATTGTAGATTATAATATGCCATAGAAATTTCAGATTTCATTGTTGTTACTTAAACCCAGAAATTTGCCATGGCCTTCCTTCTTGGTCTCATGTTTGTATTCGATTCCCCTTAGATTTTATCCTTATGTGGGGTTTGAGAGGACAGCTCTGTTGTATGCTAGGAGGAAGGAAGGAAGGAAGGGAGGGAGGGAGGGAGGGAGGGAGGGAAGAAGGAAGAGAAGAAGGAGGGAGGGAGAGAGGGGCAGTAATTTTTTAAAAAACTTAATATGCATTTTATATCTGAAAGTCTTAATAACTACATTGATTTTTTTTTTTTTTTTTTGAGACAGGGTCTCACTATGCAGGTCAGGCTGGCTTTGAACTCACTATGTAGCCTAGGTTGGCCTCAAAGCAGTCCTCCTGCCTTAGCCTCATGGGTGCTTGGATTATAGGTGTGCGCCACCACATCCAACATTAATTACTTCTTTATAATAAACTTTTATAAATTGGAATTTAATTTAAAATTTCTTGTGTAAATTTCCATAATTGTTTAGGTAAGACATTTAAAACATTAGTAGCACCAATTTCTCAGTACAACAAAACATGCAAATTTTGGTTAATTATTAAATAAAAAGTAGCAATGTTTATGGATATGCAGGGATGAGAGGGACAGAATATAACAGGGCTGGGCATGGTGGCACATACCTGCAGTCTTAGCACTCGTGAGGCTGAGGCAGGTGGATGGACCATCATGAGTTTGAAGCCAGCTTGGTGGTATCTCAAAAAAAGATGTGAGACACTTTGTCTTCTTTCAGTGTGCTATTCAAAACTTGACACTCCTTTTGAGTCACCTGGCAAAAGTCCTGGGGAGCCATCTTTTTATATGATCTGGTAAACAGTTTTAGAGAAAAACTTTGTCATTAGATGATGTACTTTTAAAATTATCTTAATTTTTTTTTGCTTGGCTTTGGAGAGTCTTGAACCCTAGAGCTGGGTTCACATGTGATACCTTTCCTGTGTAAATGGGAGCAGGGTGATTATGAAAGGGGAGGACCCTCAGCAGCTTAGTTGTAGAAGGAATACTATTGAGTGAAACGGATTCCCTTCTTTTGTGGGTCTGAAGATTTCTATTTGAACCTGCCTTCCCTAGCCTGCTCGGCATGCTTTTGACTTTGGCTCCTAACTCTTCTAATTAAATAGTGTCTTTGTAGCTTTGCTCTTATTTCTGGTCAGAATTTTGCCTGAGGCTGAAAGCTAATAAGTTCACAATACCCCTTTCAGAAAATATAAATAAACATACGTGGGTGGAGTTGTAGATAGAAGGAGGTAGAAGCAACACTGTACCTGAAACGGTTTGATGCTGGACCTGTCTGATCTTACTTGGGATTGCTAATTCTAAGAGATCAAGAAAGTCGATGGGGATTGGGGAGGCTGCTCCTCAGGGCAAAGGGCAGAGGGAGCAGTAAGACACAGGTCACCATGTGATGTCAGATATTGCTTATGAATCCTTTCTTGTCCCTGCTGTTTTTAAACTTTGATAGGTGCCTATTGGGGAGCTGACAAAGAGGAGACTGGTAAAAAGGGAAGTGAAAGCTCTTGAAAGCAAATTACACTTAAGTATATATTTAAAATGTTTTCATAAAGTTTTGCTGCTCTAAGATTAATCAATGTCTAGATGTACACAGCAGGTAAAATTTTTCCTTGCCACATGGTATATTTGACATGTGCCAAGTCAAGGGTACTTGATATGGTTCAGGTTTTCCCATTTTCTGATCTTACCTTTGGTCAGACTAGAACTTAATTGCAAAAGTATTTCTTCCACATATTTGAAAAGCATGTCATTAATTTCTTTCTTTTTCTGTCCTTAGTGTTCTCCATGGCCTGATACTCCTACAGCCTATGTGAATAACAGCCCTTCCCCAGCGCCCACTTTCACTTCTTCCCAGCAGAGCACTTGCAGTGTGCCAGACAGGTACCTGGTTTGTGTGAGCATGTGCCATGCCTCCTGCTTATGTTCGTGTGCCTTTGGCCCTCATCCTTGCCCTCCACGTAGCAACCTGTTTAGTGTACCTAGAGTGTGCAGTGATGGCAAACAGCTTGCCATCGATGTGACAGCATAGCCATTGTTTTTCCTTCACATGCCAGTCTTTTGGGACTCTGCCTTATGTACACCACACCTTTATAGCTGTGGTAATTATAGAAAATGGACATTTTCAAGATGCAGTTTTTGTGAGATTAAAGAGAGTAGGAATTACAGGTAAAGATAGAATAACTTGATAAGGTAAATCTAACTTGAGTGTGTTAAGATCACATTTAGTTCAAAGGTCTTTAACGCTGTTGTCTTATCTCGGTTTCTGCCCTATCTTCTCTCCAGACAGACAGCCCTCTTTTCTTCTGTAATTTTTAAAATGTAGGGAGTTTGGGGTGGGAGGACACTAGGTTTGAGGCATCTGAAATCTTATGGCCCTTCCATTTCCAGGGGCTTTGCTACAGAAGTAATTCAGAGTAAGAATTTTTCTGTTTTTAGGATGTTTCCTACTGGGGAGGAAAATTATGAAAACTAAGACCACAAGAAAGAGGGCTCTCGCTATAACTGGTCATACTGACAAAGTTTGATAAAACAATCATGCTTTTTTCCTGTGGAGATGGATGAATTGGCAAGGCAGCTCATCTTCTTGTAGGTTATTGTGCATTGGAGTAGAAAATGGACCTGTGGTATGTTACCAAAGAGATCTCTTCTAGTTTCCTAACTAGACCAGTCACAATACTCTTAGAAGATGACTAGGTTTGGGAGAGTACTGTTAAGTTTGGAAGAAGGGGAGCTGTGAATTCATGTACCCACTAGCTGATGGGCATTTCCTGAGAGAGCATTGTGTTCCCAGCACAGTTCTAGGTATTGTGATAAAACAAGTGATGACATGCAAGTCCTTAGGGGAGGAGCTTAAGTTCAAATGAGTTGAAAAAGATGTGGACAATCAACATAGACCTGAGTAATTGAGTAACAGGTACTAAGAAAGGAGCCAGGACAGTAGCCACATTCTCTGTGGAATTGTTATCCATTCTCATTTTTCCTTAGAAACACAAAAATAGTGACACAAGTTTATTTCATTCATCGTTTTTACTAATGGATATAGTAATATATTGTTTCTTGTGGCTCATTTTCTAAAAGTAGATTGTTTTGCAGTTTTTTCAGCTGTTTTTCTTTTTTAAATTTTTTCTGGCTATTTTAACTTACCTAATTTCTCATGTGTTTTCTTTTACCTAAGATAAATGAATATTCCTTTTCATTTTCTCTGTACCCTTGTGGGTAGCTAGGGTAGTCCTTTCCACAAAGCTTGAATTTCTCACTAGATAGGAAAGGTGTGAGTTAGGGTACAGCCTTCCATGTGTTTTCTTCTCATTATCATGCTCATTATTAACCTGTTGGACCTGTGCCCTTCTTCCAAACTTAATAGTACTCTCCCATAATATTACCCTTATTTTAAAGATTCCCACTTTAATATTCTTTAATGTCTCAGTTTATAGAAACAATTATGAAAATCATTCCTTCTTTTTCTTTCTCCCCAGCAATTCTTCTTCCCCAAATCATCAGGGAGATGGAGTTTCACAGGTGTCTAGTGAAGTAAGTATCTTTTTCCCTAAAGCTGTCAGATACCTTAAGGATCTTAGGTTTTTAAATTTATGGCAAAGGTGTTAAAATCATACAGGTTGCTGAATAGTCAGAAAACATGGTGTTCTTTTTTAAAATTTTATTTTAATTTTTTATTTATTTATTTACTTATGAGAGAGAGAGAGAGAGAGAGAGAGAGAGAGAGAGAGAGGTGTGTGTGGCCAGCTCAGCCCACCAGGGGGCGGGGCTGGCTGGCATGTGGTGCTGGGGGATCGAACCGCGGTCCCTGATGCTTTGCCAAGCTTGTTCCAAGTAGGTGCTTTAGACCACTGAGCCATCTCTCCAGCCCATAAAATTTTATTTTAAAGAGAAAAAATTAAAAATAAAAGTTTCAAAAGGCCAGTAGGAGAGTAACAATAATACATTGCATATTGTTATATTGGTAATAGTTGTTCAGAGTATAAGATATATGGACAGCTTCTTCCCCGTTCCCAGTATCTGTTACACATTTTGGACCATATTTACATGTTGTGTTTCTCACCCTAGTGAGAATATGATGTTTACATATGTGGGTCTGATTTGTTTTGAGTATGTTCTCGAGTTGTATCCATTTACCTATAAAAGTCTCAAGTTTATTCTTCTTTATGGCTGAGTAGTATTCTGTTAAAAAAAAAAAAACCCACCACATCTTTTTTTATCTGTTCCTCAGTTGATGGGCAGTTGGGTTGTTTCCAAGAATTAGGTGTTACAAATTGTGTTACTATAAACATGGATGTGCATACAACACTGTAGTATGATGTTTTAAGTTCTGAGGAGGTACCAAGAAGGGAAATAGCTGGGTCGAATGGAAGAACTTCTAGTCCTAGTTTTTTGAGGAATCACACAGATTTCCACAGTGGTTTCACCAGTCTATGATCCCACCAACAGTGGAGGAGGGTTCCTTTTCCCTACTGCCCCACCAGCATTTGTTGTTGGTTGATTTCTTGGTAATAGCCATTCTTTCTTGATTGAGATGAAATCGTAGTGTTGTTTTAATTTGCATCTCTTGAATGACCAGTGATGTTGAACATTTTTATGTGTTTACCATTTGTATTTCTTTATCCGAGAAGTATATATTCATCTCAGATGCTCATTTTTGAGATTGGGTCTTTGAATTTGGGGGGGCCTTATTTTTTTTTCCAGTTCTTTATATCTTGTAGGTATCAGTCCTTTGTCTGAGGGACAACTGGCTATAATTATTTCCCACTCTGGGTTGTCCTTTCACACTGTTGGTAACTTTTGTTGTGCAAAAGCTATTTAATAAGGTGAGATCCCATTTGTGGATTTGTAGTATTTCTTGTGCAGCTGGGTTTTGTTCATGAACTCTCTGCCTACACCTACATCTTCAAGATTTCTAAAAAAAAAGGATTTCTACTTATTTTTTCTTCCAATAAAGTTAGTATTTTTTAATACTTAGACCTTTGATCCATTTGGATTTTAGTTTAGTGCATGGTGATAGAGGTCAGTCTAGTTTTAATCTTTGGCATGTGGAAAGCCAGTTTTTCCAGAACCACTTATTAAAGAGGGTTTCTTCCAGTGAACATGTTTGGCTCCTTTGTCAAAGATAAGGTAGCTGAGTGTGTTTGGAATTGTATCTGCTTCCTTTATTCTGCTTCACTGATCCTCAGGTGTGATTTTTTTTTTTTTTTTTTTGCCGCCACTACCATGCTGATTTTATCACAGTAACTTCATAATATAATTTCAGGTCAGGGGTTGTGATGCCCCCATCTTGCCATTGTTGCCCAGAACTGCTTTGGCTACTCTAGGTCTCCTGATTCCATATGAATTTTAGGAATGTTTTCTCTAGTTCTGCAGGATATGCTACTTATTTTTAGTTGGTTTGTATTAAATCTGTATAACAGTTTTGGTAGTGTGGCTACTTTTAATGTGTTGGTTCTTTCCATCCACAAGTAAGGGAGTCTTTCCATTTTCTGATACTTTCTTCGATCTCCTTTTTCAAAGTGCTTTTTCAGTGTATAGATCTTTTATCACTTTTGTTAGATGGATTCCTATTTCATTTTTTGTATGCTACTGTGAAGGTTGTGGTTTCCCCAGTTACTCTGAGTTTGTTGCTTGCATACGAGAATGTATTGGTTTTTGAGCATTCATTTTGTATGAATCTCGTTCTTCTCGGGTGTTTTTGCTGCACTTTAAGGTTTTCTGTAAAATTTTTTTTTTTTGCATATGGGGGGTGGAACCCCAAGGAAGTGCTTTACCACTGAGCTACATCCTTAGCCCTTGCTTAAATTACCTTTTTAAAGTACCAGAGGGGCCAGGGACCTGGTTCAGTGGAATAAGCACTTCCCTGGCAAGCGCAAGGGCCTGAGTTCAATCCCCGGTTCCGCAAAAGAAAAAAGTACCAGAGACTTCCTTTTTTTTTTTTGACATTTGAATACTTTTATCTATTGATGTTCATTTTCTTTGTTAATAGCAAATTCAGCCTTCAGCTACAACCCAGGAAACACAGCAGTGGCTTCTCAAAAACAGATTTTCTTCCTACACAAGACTGTTTTCTAATTTTTCAGGTATGTCTGTGTGTCTTGGTTTTTACACAAAATGTTTTATTGTTGGTTTCTGTGGTTTTACTAATCTTACGACTTAATTTTTTTGAAGTTATGTATGAAATTGCAAAACAAAAGGCACAGGGAAGGTCTTGTGTTACCTCTCATATAGTAATTTCCCCCTGCAGCAAATAGTTGATAGTTTTACTGGACTTAGTTGTACATATAACTATTTAGTTCTAGCCAATATTTTTCATTTTCATTTTGAGATAATTATTCTTTATAGTAAGTTGGAAAGACAGTACAGAGGTGGCCCAGTATACCTTAACTCTATTTCTTCTAGAAGTGTAGCAGAATATCAAAACCAGGAACTAGACATTTATACAATACATGTATATTTCTGTTACTTCATCACATGTATATTTGTATAACCATCACAGTTATGATGCAGAATTAAGCCAGCATCGAAAAAGTTTTTCTACTTCTTTGTATTATATGTACACCTTCTCCCCACCACTAAACTCATTTGTCTATGATTTTATCATTTGAACAATATTACATAAATGGAATCATATAGTATATATAACCTTTTGAGATTGGCTTTTTTAAACTTAGGATCCACCAGCTTAGCATAAATATGTCTTATGTATTCTTTTTACTTTGAAGTAATGATTTCATAGTGTAAGTATACTTAGACATGAGTTTTGGATACAATAGTGTCAGTTTTGTTCTTTTATAAGTGGAGAAAGTGCTTGGATGGAATTTTAGAAGATACTATTCAGTGTTGCCCTTGGTGGTACGGAGGGACACTGAAAAGCCCACCTTTTTGTTGGCTCTGAGGGACAACAGGTGTATGTGTTCTTGTGTATTCACGTATATATATGTATACTCAGAATATCTGTTGCCCTTTTGAAGCATATTTGACCACTTAAAGAGAGATGCCTATAAAGCAGTTATATCTGTTCTTTGTCCATTTATTTGCAAAGACTCTTGTGCTCTTCTGCAGGTGCCGACTTACTAAAATTGACAAAGGAGGATTTAGTTCAGATTTGTGGTGCAGCCGATGGAATTCGGCTCTATAATTCACTGAAGTCAAGGTAAAATACTGTGGGCTGTTTGGTGTGAAGTAAGAACACACCTTTGTTTGCGTGGGGGGGATTTGGGCCGAATGTGTTTCCACGCTAGGGTGGCATGTGCCTGTGTGTGCCATCGAGCATTGGCAGCGTCATGCTCACAAGAAGACTGTTTTGTGTACACCTTCAGGGCAGGCCCAGATATGATGCAGGCACTGATGAGGGCAGAGGTAGACTGTAAGACTGGTAGCAAAGCACATGGGCAGTACTGAGTTCTTGAAGACGACTGGGTTTGTTGCCAAGAAAGCAAAACTTCTAATTTAGGTGAGCTATACAGAATCTATGGTTTTCAAGGTCGTGACTATTATTAAATAGTTATTTATAATGTAAAATTCTAATTGTGAGTTAAAATAAGAATTGTAAATTTCTGGCTTTTAAGATTCATTTACTATCCATTGCTGTTTCTAGACTTGTGTGAGAATTCCATTAAAATCTAATTTTACTGATTTTAAATTGCTTGCTTAATCTTGAAACTTAAATTTACCAGCATCTGACAGACCATCTCAGTGTTTTAAAGTCTGGATCATCATGTTAGACCACCTGTGATAGTTGGTGTGAGGTGTGTGGTTTTTATATTTTTATTAGTAATTATTTTGAATAATGAAGTAATATTTGTAAAGTTCTATAAGGAACTAGAACTTAGACTCCTGTAGTTGTCATTTGCATACGCGTTAAGACTTCTTTTGCTCCTAAGCTCATTAGTGGCTCTTCTGATTGCAGGTCAGTTAGGCCACGTTTAACCATCTATGTCTGCCAGGAGCGGCCCAGCAGCACACCGCTGCAAGGGCAGCAGCAGGCTGCAGGCAGTGGAGGCGAGAGTGGCAGTGGGACACCTTACGGTAGGTATTGAGGACATCTTGCTTTTTGTCCCTTTTCTGAGACTGTCAGAGACAGAAAGCACTTGAGCAGGACTTAGGAGAGCTCCTGCCCTGTGAGGGCTGCGTTAGGACACCAAGTGGCTAATGGTAGGGTCTGACAACAGTGAGGACAGGAGCTCTCAGACCAGGTCCTTGGAAAAAGAAGCTAGCAGGCTTTCTTAGTTATTTCAGTCACTCTGTGGGTCTCGTTTTTTTTTTTTTTTCCCTGTGGCTCTTCATTCCAGAAATGCCTAACAAATGAAAGACTATCTTAAATGCTTTTGAGATTTTTTCCCTCAAATCTCAGATTTACTGAAATGATGAATGTAACATTTATGGCTTGACAAGAAAACAGCGTGTTTTTCTTTTCCCTCCAGTTTACTAACCAGCTCTCCCCCATCCCTCTAACACACACACTCTTTGCAGAGTGCTGGGGATTGAACCCAGAGTCTTAAATATGCCAAAGAAGTATTCTACTACTGAGTGTGGCTTCCCTGTCCAGAGGATACTCCTAAAAATATTTATGAAGACATATCTGTGTCATAGTCCTAAGTATACAGACCTGTCTCAAGTGCCTGCCAACACCGTGTGAGATGAGTGTGGTACTGCATTCTTGTGTCACTGTCAATATATTATTCTCCTGAGTAGTAGTAGATTTTCTCCTTGAGAGTTTGTCTTCATTATCCCATGTAGTTGTATATTAACGTAAGATATAAAAAGTCTGACTCCTCCCTCATCTGAGTATGGCATTTAAAATAAAAACACACTACAGGTATGATCTGTAATTGTGCTACTCAGGAGGCTGAAGCAGGAAGAGTACAAGTTTGTGGACAACTTAATGGAAACCCATCTCAAAATATTAGAGAGCTTAACTCAGTATTAGAGCACTTGCCTAGCATGTGCTAGGCCTTGGATTCAATCCTCAATACTGGGGAAAAAATTTTAGGGCTTGAGGTATGGTTCATTGGTGGAGAACTTGCCTAGCATGCTGAGGTGCTCGGTTTGGTACAAAACACACAAAAAGGTATAAAATGTGTCCCCTCTTCTCTCCCTTCCTCTCCCTTCCCCTCCCCTCCTCACACAAAATGGTATAAAATATCCTCTCCCCTCCCTCCCTCCCTCCCTCCCTCCCTCCTTCCCTCCCTCCCTCTCTTTCTTTCTTAAAAATGGCCATTCAAGATTGTATAGTATTTTTGAAAGGCAGTAACTATCACTGCTGCCAGAGGTAAATCACATCATGTATAATTAGTAAAGTTTTATACACATATAGATCTATTATACACAGTAAGGGCAAAGTCCTCACCATCTGCATTCCTAATCCATGTCTGGCTTGAATCAGTGATTGACAGCACCTACACAAATATGACTCACTACAAATATGCATAAGGTAATGATGTTAGCTGCTAAGTTACATGTACAAGAAACACACTGAATGGGCTAAGCTGAGGACTTCTTCAAGAATAATCAGGCTTCACTATTCCCATCTTAGTTCTCTTGTTTATTATTATTAAATGTATTTGGCACAGGGTCTCACTACAACTCTGACTTCTGGTGATCCTCCTGCTTTCAGCCTTCCCAGTGGTGGGATTACAGGAGTGCACCACCACACCTGGACTTGGTTGCTGGCTCAGCGTGCCTGGGGGCAAGGCTGGGCTGGAGCTGGTGGGGCCCTGTTTCCCAGGGATCGACCTTCTGTCCCTGTGTTTGCCTAAACAGGCACTAAGTCCACTGGGCTATCTCACCTGCCCCCATCCTAGTTTTAATTTGGTGCCTTTTACAATTATTTTTAATTGATGGAGGGGTATAAAGAGTTTTTAATTCCTTAGGATAAATTCACAGGATTACTGGTCAAAAATTATGACCCTTTTCCTAAATTTTTATAAATACATATTTTTAAAAAATGGTTTTCTTTAGATATATACCATAAAATCCACCCCTTGTATGTCTCAGTGGTACTTCTGGTGAATTCACAGTTTTGCAGCCACTCTACAATCTAATTGGACTCCCAATGCTCTAGAAGATCCCCCGTGTGCAGTGTTTATTGTTAGGGCATTTTAAGTACTAGGATTAAAATACTGCTTAGCTTTCATTTCTAAATATATGAATTACATATTCATTGTAGAAAAAAATTAAAACCTCACATCCTTACGTACATTGATTACTGTTAATATTTATTACATTAATGTGAGTGATAAATAATATATTCTATTTCAGATATGATAAAGCTCATTCAAATGAGCTTTCTTTTTACAATAATAAGAAATGTTAATTTGTTGGTTTTCATAAATTTTTAATTTATTTCTTTGATACTTTGAAAGGTGTACTCCACCCAGAGATCAGGTAAAACGCAGATAAAAGATTATTGGTTAAAACACTGTTGTTTTTTTTTTTTTTTTCTTTTTCTTTTTTCAGTTTATCATGCAATCTACCTGGAAGAAATGGTTGCCTCAGAAGTTGCTCGAAAACTTGCGTTGGTGTTTAATATTCCTTTCCATCAAATTAACCAGGTTTACAGACAGGGTCCCACTGGTATTCACATTCTTGTTAGTGATCAGGTAAATCAAGTAGGCCTGTCCTTTTGTACTGATATTTATTTCTATTCAGATGATGATAGAACTGTAGAAAAATTGTGTGATTTTTTTTCCCCCCAAATAATCATGAGTTGTTTTTCAGCGAGTTGAAGATCAAAATCTATTAAGAATTTATAACTAAAGGGTTGGTGAGATAGTTCAGTGGACTGAGCACTTGCTTAGGCAAACATAGGGACTGGGGTTCAGTCCCTGGCACCATATGCTGTTCTGGCCCTACACCTGCCCCCAGGTGTACTGAGCTGGCAACTGAGACCAGGCGTGGTGGTGCACACATGTAATCCCAGCCTTGGGGAGGCTGAAAACAGGGGATCACTATTGAGTCTGAGCTGTGTAGTGAGACCCTGGACCAAATACATTAAAAAATAATTTATGACCAGAATTTTCAGGCATCCTAATGTTAATGAGTACAAGCCAGGGAAAATTGACTTGGCCTTATGCCAGTTTTGAATTTAGTCACTTATCAGGGGATTCAAAAGATTAGTGGTAGATTTTGGCCCTTTTTATGAGGTGTAAGGTATTGGATATGTTCTTTTGTCCTCTGATAGCTAATGTTAAAAACAGGTAAGGTCAGAGGTACAACTTTGCTGGCCAGAGTGTCTGTGACAAGCAAATAATAATAGAAGAGTGTCTTAGGCAGTTTTTGTGAGCACTTATTCCCAGGCCATGTGGGTCACAACCAGACCTGCCAGAGACCATCCTGGCAGACATGGATGAGCTCTGGGCCTTGCCATTGCAGTAAGTCTGAATGTTCACTCTCTTGGCTAGCTTTTTGAATTACCATTTTGGCTGCTTAATCCTGTACTGGTGCAGTAACAGTGTATATATTATGGTATTTTCTATTACGGTTTTATATCATTTTTAGTTTAAAAAGTTGTATGTTAATTATACTTACGTGTCTGTTTTATTCTAGATGGTTCAGAACTTTCAAGATGAGAGTTGTTTTTTATTCTCCACAGTAAAAGGTACTGTGTGTGTGTGTGAGAGAGAGGGAGGGAGAGGGGTGCTAGGCTCAGGAAAGATGTCTGGACCTATAGTTAGTAGCCATTTTGTGTACTTATTCTGGAAAAGGCTGGCTTTACTAAGAGACTTGGAAAAAAAATATGGAGGATATTTCTAGTGGTTGTAATAATACTAACTAGCAAATACAGAAAAGGAGTCAGTCTTTGATGAATAGAAAACAGTTCATCCAGCTGACATTTTATTGAGCAACTTGTATTAGGTGCTGTGGTACTGGTTGCTCAGTGGGTCTTGCTTTGTAGTTCAGGTTGGCCTTGAACTTGAGGTTCTGCCTCAGTCCCAAGTACCTGGATTACAGGTGTGTTACCATGCCCAGCACCAGCTTAGTGAGTCATGAACGAGAGTCCATGGAATTTCCCATTGCAGAGGGGAAAGAAAACAAAGTAGGCCACAAATAGACAAAATTACCAATATTTTAAGTGAATAGCAAAGTGTGGGATGCTTGTGGAGAAGGGCCTCTGGGCATTGTAACTACTTGTTCAGTTCAGCCAGGATATCCATGGAAGGTTTCTCTGAGGAGGTGACTTGACGAATGAGGAGCTGGCCACAGGAGTTGGTATCCCAAGGCAGAAAAGAAAGCACTTGGCTTCTGTGAACACCTGGGGAAGGGCCATGTAGCTGCTCTGCAGCTGTGTGTAGTGTGAGACAGGGTTGAGGCTGGAGGCAGGCATGACATGCAGGGTGAGTGAAGATAGTAATTTGGATTTTATTTGAAATGTTTTGGAAAGGTAGTAAAGCTGTTTAGAAGTAATACAGGTTTTTTTCCTTAACACTCTGGAAACAAGCTGGCAAAAGTGGAGGCAGGAGATACCATCCAGGTGAAAGGTCATGGGACTGACGGGCTCACATTTGACAGAGCAGTAGCTGGGATTGTTGGTTTTGTTATTGAGAGTGACTCTTAGTAGTAGACTCTAAAGAAAGAAAGATGGGGACAGAGCAATAAAGTTTCATTTTAGTATGTGGAAATGTCAAGTAAACAGTGAATTATACCATTCTGGGACAGTTAAAGAGCCCTGGGCTTATGAGATAGCTGTGGAAGCCTTAAAACTTATGAACAGTGACTAAAAGCTACTGAAGTTACTGAAGTCACTTGGGGAGACAGTCTGGAAAGAGGGCTCAAACTGGAATGGGTGAATGCTGTTAAAGGGTTAGAAAAGGTATTTTTGAAGTCAATATTTGGAAAGAGATATACCCTCAGAAACTGTTTAAAAAGTCAGATAGTTTAAGAAGCAGTCTTAATACAGATGTTGGCCTGAGATGAGGAAGATGTCATGTGTCACCTTTTCTTAGTAGTCACTTTTGAAAGGAGTAGCCCTGAACCATGTTGAAATTACAGTTTCACTTTGGGCCTGATATTGTATGTGCCATCAGTTTATCTGCAAGGCTGGATTTTGATTTAACCGGCTTACTTTATCTTTCACTTTCAGAAACATCTTCAGCTCAACACATATGTGCAAAATCTTTCATTCTCAAAGCTGAACAACTTTTTTTTAAAGCTGAATAATTTTACTTTGCAAAATTTACATTGTCTAAGAAGGAACACTCATACTATAATTACATAGTTGTGTTCTCTATAACATTAATGGTGTCGAGCATAGGATTTCCCCTCCAATACTAGTTTTCTGTTTTTCAGAGTTCGTTAACATGTACAATTTCATTTGTCTATGAATATGGTTAGTGATTCTCATTGTTTACCGAAGTTTTTGTGCAAAAGTGGTTTTTGTCTTCTGGTGCTAGAGATTGAGTTAAGGGCCTTATAACAGAGAAAGAAATGGATCTGTGTATACATAGATATTGATATCCTAAATATTTCAAATCTATTTCTCAGGAGCTCAGAAAATTTTCCAGAACGGATAGATGTACACATTGATGGTTGTCCCCCTGGGTTATTTGTATACTGAATGTAAGGTTGGCGTTGCTCTCTGCCCTCAGTGTTTCCACATGCTCTCCTGCCATCTCTTGCTCCTCCTCCTGGTTATGATGCTCCTCTTTGTTTTGTTGGATCCCTACCCCACAGAACTGGCAAGCAGTATGGGAGCAGAGCAACAAAGGGAAAACAGCAAGGCTTCTGAAAATGGAATGCCTCTGGGTCAGTTTTTCTGTGGCCAGGTCAGAATACCTGCTATCCACACAAAGGGCCAAGATCTGTCATAGCTCACAACTTCAGATGCTTTTGTCTATGGTTGACTGGCTCCAAGGTACAGACCTCGGAGTTCACAGCAGAGGGTAGCTGCTCCCCTCCAGGGAGCCAGGAGGGAGATAGGGAGCAGCAGGGACCAGCTACAGTCCCCAGGTCACACCTGTGTGACCCACCTAGCCACATCCAGAAGTGTGCTTTTCTGATCTCTTCAGCATCTCTCGAGCCAGTCAGGCGGACATTCAAGAATAACCATCACCAGTGTCTGAAAGGGGAGTATGTATGTAGAGACATAAGAGCTAGCATTGCTGGCTGTGGTCATGCACACTTGTAACCACAGCACCGGCACTACAGAGTTCAAAGCCAGCCCAAACTACATAGCGAGACCCTGTCTTAAAACCATCTCTCCCTCCAAAAAAGAAGAGCCAGAGTAAATCAGCCTTTTCCTCTAACATTTTCTGTAATATTGAGTTGAGGTGGAGGGTAGTACATTTCAGAATTTTTAATTCGATTGATTTCCTAAGGCTCGTTAAATTTTAAATTTTTTTGCAGCTGAAAATAATGATGGTATCCACATAATCTTGAAGTGATCTTTTACATAGACTGAACTATATTCAGTACCAAATAAAGTCACGCTTAAATGTGTGTGAAGACTGAATCCAAGAAGTCTTGGGATTGGATTTTACCAAATGAAATGTTTCATATTGAAAACACAAGATGACCTTTCTTATGAGCTGATATTCGAGGCGGACCTCCTCCCCGTCACAGCCAAAGCCCAGCATCCTCATGTGAGCGAGCGCATTGGGCAGCTGCACCTGGCTCTGGAGGCCGCGCCTTGCAGGCACAAGCTTTGCGCTTCCGACAGAGGCCAGTCCATGTGGTTCCCAGAAGCTGCCGTTGCTGGCTCTTTACACTGTATGCGGTTTGGAAATGATGAATGTAAACACTGTGGGCATTTACTTTCTGTGCCAGTTTGGCTTATATTGCCTAAACCTTACGCAGACCTGGGGAGGAGATAGGGGACGGTGCTGTTTGTGGAGCCATGATGGAAACTGCAGAGAGAGATGCTGTGCTGGTGTGGCCACTGGTGGTCAGGTAAGCGGCTCAGCACCTTCTTGGAAGGAATCATGTCTTAAGAGAGTACATCTGACGCAGTCATGACAGACCAGGGACAACCCAAGCCAGGAAGATGGGCTTGAAGCAAACTGCATTATCAGGAGTACCTTGGTAAGAGGATCAGAGTAAATCCTAATAGGTACAAAGACTTGTATTTTTGCTGTTGAAACACTTTTTTTCTGCTTCCAAAAGCATTTTAGTTTCTGGTTTTCATACCACTCTTGTGGTTTTCTTTCTCATTTTCCTCCCCTTCTCCATCTATCCCTTCCTATTCTTAAGCATTTTTAAAATCCCTACCCCAGATGTTAGATATTGGTGACATAAAAAGAGGAACCAACGTGTTATTGTTGATGGTTTCTTTCTGACTTGGTGTTAAGGGATATGTATTATGAATGAGATGAAATTATCCATGAAAACACTAGTATCATGAACGCTAAAATTACCATAGAAATCCCTTTTTCTCACCTCAAATAATGAGCTTCAGTACAATCATGGATAAACATTCTGGTGATATAGGGGCTTGTAATACACCAAATAATGTTTCTTTTCTGTAAAATAGTGTCTCAAAAAATCAAATGTGTCTGCTAGCACACTTTCATCCAAAGGGAATCTATACTGTTTCCACTTTTTCTTCCTACTGTCTGTATCTCCTTGACCCAAAGTGTCCTAGAGTTCATCAGAAAGCATTTTTTTAATGACTGTGGTATATCAAGCCTGAATTTTCTTTCTTTTTTTTATTTAAAAAAAAAATCCCTTTTATTCCATTTTAATTCTAGCATCTTTATCCACTTACTCAGCAGTTTTAGCTTTGGACGAACTATTTGATCCTCCACTTTGCTCAGATGGATGTCAGAATGATTAAGTTTGGATTCTGTTCCAGGTGACAAAGCTTCAGAGGGTAAACACTTGGTTAGTTTATTCATAAAGGTGGCTAATTCTACAAAGAAGCATTGTCTTTAGTCAGGTTTGGAAATACCTGTGACTCCTCTGGACCTGTAAGGGAAGAGCTTGCCTTTTGTCCTCCCTTTGCTTTTGTGTGACCACGTTTTCTGTAAGTCACTTGGGAAAGAAGTGAACTTCTCTCAATCGTTTTAGAAAGTTTGCTTGTCTATTTAGCATTCCTTTTTGGGACTCATGATTTATGGAACAGTAAATGTCATTTGATGCTGTGTGCTATTTTGAAGTCCTCATCAGGTTTTAGACGTGGGGTAAAAATACAAGCTCATCAGACTTGAAATTACACCCAGTGGCATTAGAACATTATAGTCTGTCCAGAAAAACAGGTTAAATTATGGCACCAGCAAATTTGCTACTTTGTTTTTTTAATAGTAGGATGTACACATTTCGGTATAATAAATGTTTTCCGATTGTTTTGCAAATTGTGTCTGTCATTTAAAATCTGAGTTCTTGCTTTGTGTCAGAATCAAGGAATTCCCTATGTGTGCCCCTTGCCTGTCCCAGTCCAGATGGTATAAGAGATGAGGCACCAATGGTTTTCCCTTTTTTCAAAGCTTTATAATATAAGCAAGGATAGGTTTTTCTAGGAGCTGTTCTATACTTAAGGAGGGTTTTTTTTTTTTTTTTTTTTTTTGGAACCGGGGATTGAACTCAGATCCTTGCGTTTGCCAGTCAAGCACTTATCCTACTGAGCCATTTCCCCGGCCCAGGAGGGTTTTTTTAATAAGAGATTTTCCTATTTTGTAAATGAGGTCATGGGTCATTGGCATGAAGTCCAGTAGCTGTAATAGGTTGTTTCCTAGCTCAGAGAGATTAGATGATTCTGGACATGGATTTTTTTTTTTTTTTAAAGTAGAAACAAATTCGTAGTCATTGCTTATTAGTCACCTTCCAATCCCCAACAGTGGTATAAACATTTGTTTAAAGAGCTGTGATTTTCATCCAAGTTTTAAGATCACAACACTAGAGCATATGAGAAAGCAATAAAGGTAGACCTCTAATGATTAGTGATAATATTGCTAGGTCATTGTATGGAGGTATTTGCCTTCTCCAGCTAGCATGCAGCTAGAGTGTGTCCTTAAAATGCTTCTAGAACTGCCCCTAAAGTTAAAACATCTTGCTTTTGTTGTTTTACTTCTTATAAGAGTTTTGAGCCCTTCAGTTGGGTCATGGTTGCTAGCATGGTCAGCCGCTATTAACACAGAGTTCAACAAGGATGGTGATGGCTTCCTCAAGTTGAGTAAAGGTCACAGATGCGGACAGGACCAGGCAAGACTCAGCCACAGTAGATAACAGACCATCTCACAACATTGGGAAGGCCTGAACTTGGAAAGTCGCTTTGCTCAGAGTTGTCTGCTGTAAGATCATAGCAATAAAGCCGCTGAATTAATTCTATTACACTACAGTAATTTACACTACAAGTCTTAACAGGTGCCAACACTTCACTGATCTGAGTTTTAAGTGTGTAAAACTTTTAAATAGTTTTGGTGTAACCTGATTTCTAAAAATTTAAAATAAACTTTAAAAAATCACATCCATTCTGCATGCATCCATTCATTATTTTTAATAATATTATAATAAATGACTTAAACCTTAATTCTGTTTCTGCAAGGTCTCCCAAAAAAGTATGGACATAATTAGCTTTTTCCTTAAAGAAATCGCATTGTGTGCTGTAGCATATGCCAGAGCTTATATCCTTTTCCACCAGCCAACACAGACGGAGTTGCTTTTGTTTAGTTTTTGGTCCTTAGAGGTGGTTATGACAAACTGACATATAAAGGTGAAGACCCTGTCCACCAGTTTAGGAATCCTCTTTTCTTTGGTGTAGCATGGAAACTGTTCCACATTAGCTTCTATGTATGAAACTATTAGGTGTCACGAATTTGTCGTACAGTCATTTGAATAAAGGTAATCTTAAAATGAGAAAGTCCTGCTAATTGTAATGGAATCATTGTGAATTTAAAAAGCCCATTGGCTTGTAAGGATTAGATAGCCAGGTAATTCTTTCTGCTCAGCTTGTGCTGACACTGACAGTCCGCGAGGAATGCTGATAAAGCCCAGGGAAGGACCACCTCCTAAGGAATCCAGGTTTCCATGTGCTCTTGGCTACACTGAGATCATCCTTGCCACATGTTAACTGACAAGGCTTTGATCTGATTGCATCACAGCAAAATAAAGGTAAGAACTATCACCAGTTACTGCAGTCCACATCAAAGTGTTTTACCTGTAAGTGCCTTTTCCCAAGGGAGAATCAACAGATTTGGGTGACAGTGGAGTAGGCAAGAAGCCTGGTCTTCTCTAGGGAGAAACATTTTGTTATCCCTTGGGCCTAAGCAGCTACTGTCAGAGAATGACACAGCACCTGCACAGTCGCTGTCCACTTCCTGCCACTGCTGTGGGTGGAATGACAGGAGCAAAGTAGGCATGGACTTTGACATGAGGAAGCTGAGCCTGAAAGTAGAAGGAAAAAATGGAGTAGTGTTTACCCTGGCATTTTAAGGATTATGGTCCTAATACTCAAAAGGCTGAAGTTCTCATTTGGAATCTACTTCACCTTAGTGTTAGGAAGACAGTTCTAACAATTAACTAGAGCTGCTGCTGTTACAGTCCTGCACTCTCCCGTGGAATCCCATGACCTAAAGACAAACGGAATCTCAAAGTGACACATTTCCACCCAGCTGTAGTAACCAGCCCTTTTTATCCACCCCCCCCCCCTGGCGGGGGGGTGGAACCGGGGATTGAACTCAGGCCCTTGCGTTTGCCAGGCAAGTGCTTATTCTACTGAGGTATCTCTCTGGCCCTCTTTTTTACTTTAGGGTGCAAATTCAAACATACCAAACTTTAAATGATGCAAGTTTTAAAACCATTGTATTACACTCTCTTGCCTGGAAACTAGCCAACACTGTTTGGGGGTGGGTGTACATGGGAATTGAACAGCAGATCTTGCACTTGCCAGGCAGGTACTTGTGCCACTGAGCTATATACATCCCTGGCCCCTCGCTATGTGTCATTTACTGGCAGTGACCTTAAGTTGCCTGCCCTGGATGGAGACCTTATGTGGGTCCTGATCGCCAGACTACGTGGAACTTCTCTATCTTAAATGTATTCATTCAAGTTGAATCCTCCAGGGTGGGGTCTAAGCAATGAAATTTTTAAAATGACACTTGTTTGCCTAACTGTTGGTTTCAGACAGGACAAAGAAAATGGATGCTGATTCCTTATGTGTCCTTTGCTGCTCAGTAGTCACTGCTAGGTGAAACCCACTCCCCTGGCCCACACCTACCCGCATCCGCTTGATGCCTGCACGAGTGACCTGCTGGCAGTCATACAGTTCAAGGCGCTCTAGGCCACGGCAGTTCTCCAGGTGCTCAAGGGCCACGTCAGTGATGAGGCAGTTATCCAGTTCCAGTACCCTCAGCCTCTTGTGGCCACAGGTACTGTTGCTGAGGTGCAGGATCCCATCATCTGTGATGAGCTCACAGTGGGACAGGCTCTGAAACAGGATGTTCACAGGAACTCATTGCAAGGCTCCACGCCTAGTGAACATAGAAATCCTAGCTCATAGTGTCCCAGAGTAACACTGTCATGGTTTGACAATGGCCCTAAAAATCAGGTGCTGTATACTAATCCCCAGTATGATGTTCAGAAGTAGACTGTAGTGATATTTTGGGTCACAGTGTCACCTGTGTGAATATATTAATTACAACTGTAAAAAGGGCTCCAAGCTGCAAATAATTTCTCCACTGCCCCTTTGCCTTTGTACTTTCCCCTGTGAGATGACACTGAAAACACACCCTCCCCAGGTCACCAGCCCATCAATCTTGGACCTTCTGGCCTAAGACATTCTAGTTCATTGTGTACAATCTGCTGTGCTGCAGCACCAAAAAGGACTAAGGCACTGAATCAGGCAGGGAGGGCCACACACCCTAGGGGCTCTTTGGTCATGGGCCCCAAAGTTGCCATAAGGCAATGGTTCTTAACCTTTTGACTAAAAAGGTGAAAAATCTCAGCATTTACATCCTTGAGAGCAGCTTTAATATCTAATTCTCCAACTGTGGCGGCTACTGACATTATTTAGTGTCCTTCATTCAGAAAACTCAGATGCATACTGAGCATCTGAAGGGTGTAGAAGTTAGTTCTCTTACACAGACGTTTCTGTTATTATCTAAAGTCTCATCAATAGTTTCAGATGTGACAGTTTTCTTCAGGATGTAACAAATACAATATTCAGCCTAACAAAATTCCTTATAGGCAAAAGACAGCATAAAGTTCTTGTCATTTTTTTCTTTCAGATACACTGAGTTCCAACTCTGCCAGGCTGTGTTGTGTGCAGTGATGAGGAAACACACTTTAAAAAAAAAAAATTGGTCCAGGGTCTCACTAGCAGTTCAGACTCACAGTGCTCCTCCCGTTTTCAGCCTCCCCAGCGCAGGATTACAGGTGTGCACCACCACACCCGGTAGAGCCCAGATTATAGAACTGAGAAATGAAATTGCACTAAGGAGACTTAATGTGAAGCTGAAGTGAGTCTCCAGAGCATGCACTAGGTGGCCTGAGGGTGGGGCCACTGCACTGGTGTGGAGCAAGGATGAAGGGTTCAGGTTATCAGAAACAAGGCAGGATGGGGGCAGGAGGACAATGGGAACCATAGGTGGGAAGAGGATGCAGATGGAAAGGGGTAGGTTCCAGGCCAGATGGCAGAACTCTGTGGGACATAAAAGCAAATTTTTATTTTCATTTAAGGTCACTGGGAAATGTAGCATTTTTAAAGCAAGACTAGCTAAAATGAAAACAATGGAAAGCAAGTATTGGTAAAGATATCAAGCAGCTGAAATGCCATGCTGTAAGGGCAATTTGGGTATCTGAAAACAGCAATGCTGGCTAGAAGAGTCTCAAATAGAAAAAACATTGAGCATAGAAAAGGTAAATTGGGGTATGCCTATTTTGTAAAGCAGTGAGGGTGAACAATGTATACCTACATACAACAATGTGAATGAACTTGTACATGTAAGGAGCGCTAAAATCAGGTAAGTACAGATTAATCACTAATAGAGGCCGGGTCTGGTGGGGGAGGCTGAGGCAGGAGGGATCACTGTGAGTTCAAGGCCAGCCGGGGCTAAAAGGTAAATTCAAGGCTAGCCTGAACTGCACAGTAAAAGCCTGTCTGAAAGACACACAAAATCACTAATAGAATTTCAACAATAAATGAAAAAAACCCTAATAAATGCTATTGTAAGTCACTACCTTGGAGTTTAATGATAAAGGGAGCAAGGGGGAAGTTTTGGGATCATCATAATACTCCAGGAATATTCCATTTACATAAGCAGTGCTCTACATAACAATAACAAAGGTACTTTTCTAAATACTTAAGTAAAAATTGAAAACATAATCCACCAGGCTGCCAAGCAGTGCAAAAGTGGACAGAGTGGAGAGCAAGTGGGAGGCTACAATGTCCCTGGGGTAAAGAAATGCTAGTAATTTGCACCCCTGGTGAGAAACAGCAAATTAGTGCATGGGTGGGAAGTTTACTGCTAAGCGAAGAACTAAAGAGATTGGTATGGAATATGAGAAATGGGCAGCTGAACACAATCTAGAGGTGGAGGGCTGGAGGAGAAACTGTTGGATCCTGAGCCTGCAAAGATTTCTCAGCTCCGTTTTAACATGGGGTGTGTCTTAGTTACTCTTCTCTGCTGGGACAAATACCTGATACCCAAAATAAAAGGAAAGGCTTATTTAGTTCACAGGTACTGGAGGTTTCAGTCCTTACTCACTGACTCCCAGAGAGAGTGGCACAGGGCAGAGAGCAGCCATTAGCCCCTCTCCCCTCTTTACATTGCAATACAGATTATCTGCCCCAGGCAGGCGCAGCACCCACACCCACAATAATCACAAAGGACAGAAAACCGTAACGGTGTTTCCTTTCTCGTGAACCTAATCACACTACTCAAACTTGTATGTCTGTAACCAGTGTAGTGCTTCCTTCTGTATGTTCCTCCTGAGAAATCTGCTGTGATTTGAATTCCTTCTGTCTATGCACTGAATCTCAGTTTTCAAGTAGTTCTTGGGCTGTGGGGTAGAGAGCATGCCCAGCAAGTGCAAGGCTTGGGTTCAGTCCTTAGCTCCTGTGTGTGTGTGTGCGTGCTTTCCCTTACCTTTACTTTTCACAAGTATGATTATGATCTGTCTTGGTGTGAACTGCTTTGGATTTTTGCTACTCAGCTTCTTAAATCTACAGGTGTACTGTCTTCTGCCAGATTTAGGGAATCTTCTGCCATGTCTTCAGCCCCAGTCTCTGTCTCTTCTGGAATTGTGATGATATGTGACATTTTTTGTTGTAGTTCCAGCAGGCTGAGACACTACCCTTTCTTCTTTTCTTCAGTCTATTTTCTGTTGCCTAGGTTGGGTAATTTGTATTGTTGTACCTTCAGGTTTATAAATTCTCTCCATTTTGCTTTAACGTCATGTAATGAATTTTATTGATATGTGTTTATAAATTTCTATATACTTTTATATGTTCCATTTCTTTGCTGACATTTTTTCTTTCAAGTGTGTCCTTCATGCTTGGCTTTAAAATTCTTGCCATACAATTGTGAGATTTTTTTTTTTTTTTACTTTTTGTCTTTTCAAGACAGGGTTTTGCAGTGCAGTTCATGCTGCCCAGAACTCGCTTTGTAGCCCAGGCTGGACTTGAACTCACAGTGATTCTCTTGCCTCAACCTCCCTGAGTGCTGGGATTACAGGTGTGTGCCACCACACCCAGCCTGATTCTGAGATTTGTATCATCTTAGTATTACTGTCTTTTCTCATACAAGTTTAGATTTTTCTTCGTATGATGAGTCTTCTCTTTGTCCTGTTTGAGGCAGGCTTTGCTATGCAGTTCAGGCCTCATCATGTAGGCCAGGCTGGCCTCTTTAAAAACAATTCCTCAGAGTGCTGGGATTACAGGTGTGCACCACCATACCTAGCTGAGTGTTTTTTACTATCAGGATATTTTGATTATTAGGAAACTCCTAAGTGTTTTCAGTCTGGAAATTAAATCTAGGGCCTTCTGCAGGTAAGCAAGTGTTTTTTTTTTCTTTGAGTCACACCCCAGCCTAAACAGAAGTGTTAATAGGCCCCTTCTGACACTGTGCTTGCAGTGGAAGGGTTGGTGGTGCCTTGTCACTGTCAGGTAGGGGCAGAAGTCCAAGTTCCCAGTCAGCATTATGATCCTCAGTGTGGCACAGAACTTATTAATTGGAGGAGGTAAGAATTCAGACTCCCTCCAGATGGCCCTCACCTGAAGGAGAGAGGTGCCTTGTCCTTTGGTCGGGTTGAAGCCTAGGCTGACTGTGTGATCTGCAGTGATAACTACTGGTGGGCAGTTCATTACCTCTGAGGAAGATGAAAGACTCCAAGCTCCCTTACTCAACTGCTGCTGGCAGTGGTGGAGACGGTCCTGCAGGTTTTTCTGCGCAGTGGATAGAGTGGAGTTTTGTTTGGTTTGTTTGAGACACGATTTCACTAGGTAATTAAGGCTGGACTTGAGCTCACTTTGTAACCCAGGCCCACCTTGAATTCACAGCAGTCCTCTTCCCCAGTGCTGGGATTACAGGTATGCACCACCATGCCCAGCTGGGTAGAGCGGTTATTGTCTGAAAGTTTTCTGTCTTGGTTCTTTAGCTAGATGGAGCAGGCTCTTCTTCAGAAGTTTTTCTGAACCTTTTGGCATTTCAAGGTTGTCAGTTCTATAGTACCCAACCTGGGATATATGAAGCAAAACAAAAAGCTCAGGAAACTTGCGACCATGCTGCTTGCTTGTGCCCCAGGTCTCCAGCTGGTCCTGCCTGTTTCCCTTGATATGTTAGTCTTTAAGTTGGTTTTATAGGTAGCATCAGGTATACTGGCTGTACCCAGAAGGAATGAGAATAGTGCATTGACTTCCTTTTCCTGGAACTCAAAACTTGAATTTGTTTTTTGAAAATCTGTATTTATTTTTCCAACAAATACAAATAAAATGTGTCCTTTCACAGATTCTGCTGGTGACATTTGCTCAAGCACTCTTAATTAAAAATAAATGGTAGGCAAGAGAGTGTGGGAACAGTGGCACACAAGTATAGTCTTCGCTGCTCAGGAAGCTGATGCAGAAGAATCACTGGAGCCCATGATTTCAAGACTACCATGAATGACACACTGAAACCCCATTTCCAAAATAAAAAGAAAACCAAGCATGGGAAACATTTTTAAGCTAAGAAAGTTCACTTATGGCAGAGTAAGGAAGATGCTATACTCATGCTTCTTTTTGCTAGTCCCATCTGTCCCACTTGCACTAGGCTGTTGGGAGCCAACTGTTAAGATTTAGACGTGTGGGGGGGTGTCCAAACCCTCTCAGGGCCCCTAGGGGAAGCCAGGAGCAGAACAGACTTTCAACTGGAATGTAAAAACATTGAAGTAACTTGCTGTCCCAGCAGCTGTGAGCCATGGCCTGAGGAATCTAGATGTTCTCCTCTTGCCTAAGTCCGGAATTTTCCCTTAACATCTGCTCCAACAAGGGGAGCTCTGTCTGTGGCCAGCACTGGAGGAGTCAGCCAGCTGCCTCACCAAGACAGCGTGGTGCTGTGGGTGCCTCCTGGAAGTTGGGGGGGCTACTGGTGCTGCCCCAGGGCCCTTCCCTGCTCCCTCCCCTCCCTAGCCTTTGGCAGGGCTGGGGACAGCCAGTGCCCTCCTGACAAGTGCTGCTTCTTGGGGCCTGAACTGCACAGCCTTCCTCATTCACAAAGCATTGACTGTCTGACTTGAGACTTGGCTTTCTTTATATCCCACTTTGCTCCCAGAGAACCTAAAGTGTCTCCCTCACTAGGCTGTTGGTGCTATGATGAGAAGGGAGATCTTTCTGTTCTCAGAGAGTCAGAGGTCTAAATCATAACCCTAGACTTCCCCCAAATTTCCAGTGAGGAAAGCTGCCTTTGGTGTATGGAAAGAACTTAAGATCTAAGGCTAAACCAGGCAAGGTAGCACACCTGTAATCCCAGGGCTAGGGATGAGGCAGAGGCAGGAAGACTGCTACGAATTTGAGGGGCCTGGGCTACATAGGAGTTCCAAGCCCAGTCTGAAACACAGCAAGATCCTGTCTCAACAAAGCAAACATGGGCTGGGGATATAGCTCAGTGGCACAAGTTCCTGCCTGGCATGTGAAAGGTCCCGAGTTCAATTCATGATACCAAAAAAAAAAAAAGCAAAAACAGATCTAAGGATGAAAATGAAACCACTAAAAATGAGTTCACACAGATATAGCTAAAAACTGATAAAATTTACAAGTTAATTTAAAAAAAAACTGAAAATAATAGGCATCGAAAACAGTAAAACAGAGGCCACAAATCTCACTGTGTGGGTGTCACAGGCCCACTGTGCACTCCTTTGAAAAGGGCCTGGTCTCCTACTGGCACCCTCTTCATTCTGTAAGTACTCACTTGGCCCAGTCCCTGCAACGCCCTCAGGTTCTTCTGCTCACCCTTGCTCCTACTTCCAAACCTCACTTAAGCCCGTCCAGCAGGCCACCATGTCGAAGGTGTCCTTCAAGATCACGCTGACATCGGACCCGCGGCTGCCGTACAAAGTACTGAGTGTTCCTGACTTAACAGCTGGGTCACACTGAAATTTAAGGATGAAAGCTGTGCTGAGAGGAAGCTGAATCTTGAAGGTGAAAAGCTTTAATAACTGACAACAGAATTTAGGTTGCTTGGCAAGGAGGGAGGGGAAACAAGTGACTGCCAATGAAAAGATGGGTTCTATCTGAGCAAAATTAGTGCAGCTGGGTAACAGCAGAAAGGTGGGAGATGCTGGTCAGGGGCACAAAACAGACTACCAAGAACACCTTCTAGGAACAGGAGTGCGCAGCTCAGTGGTTGAGCACTTATCCAGCATGCACGAGGCCCCGGCTCAGATCTCCAATACCAGTAAGACAAAACATGAAAGTTGTTAAATATTTCCACTTTAAATTGGAGAAAATACTCATTTAAATATCACCAAATATCACACATGATCTTTTCCTCTAGAGCAGTAAGCAACGGCTTGATAACAACAGCCTTCCATAACGGCAAGTGGGCTTAATGTGTGACCTTACACCAGTGTAACCTTGCAAAGAGGGTACCTGATTTGACATTTGATGGTCTTGTTTTCCCACACATTGTGGTGTTTTACTAAATCATGATGAAAAATAAAATAACAAGAAAGTAATTTTGCTTAGCACCATGTCTTTTTCCTTAACAGGGCCAAAATTTTGCTTGAATAGCTTCTAATAAGTTATAAAGAGGATCTTAACACCTCTGAACTAATTCCCTGACTTTTCAGGGCTTCCAGGTCCTGTTCTTGTGTATTCTTTTCAATCTGGGGCTCGCCTTGTCTGCAGTTGTGTATCTGACTTACTTCCAGACACACATGACCAGGTTTCCCTTTTGCATGGCTTTCCACATTGTGTTTCTGTGACAGCAAAAGGCCCATCCTCCCATCGTATTTCAATACCCCAACCACAGCTCTGGCTCTGAGGAGGGGAGGTGCCCTGCTGTGGATGCAGCACCCTGTTCCTGGGTCCGTCCAGTAGGTGCTGTCAGCGCAGCTGCTGGGGGCCACCTCCCCCTGGACAAGGCCTGTGGAGAACAGGCATGTGCTTCTGCGGCGCCCCTAGAGCATAGGGCAATGCTAGCTGACACCCGATCTCCTTGGCACTGCTTCCTGCCAGCCTGAGCTGGCCAACCACTTGCCATGAGACCTGCCGCAGTGCACATGCGCACCAAACGCAACTTGCACTTATATTTGCCTCAGCTCTGCTCTCGCTCCCCATGGTCAAAGTGGGCAGCACTCGCCCTTATGCTTTCAACAGGGAGCCTCTGAAGCTTCACAATTGGGACAACGCTGTTCTCTCCTGGTGAATCATCATATCCTGCAGTCTCCAGAGCAGGGCATGACTGACATGTGCAGGTGGAGTGAATGAGATGAAAAGCAGACACTTGGGACAGCCCAGAGGATTTCCTCTTTCTCCCTTGGCCTCTAGGAGCTCAAAGCAAAGTTTTCAACCGGAATTCTTTCCCTGCTTTTCTGCTAATAATTATATTTTTTTTTGTAGGGGGAGGGGATAGATGGCTGTTACTTTAGATTTGTTTTTATGGTAGCTTATTATTTTGCCCTTGCATCCTTATTTTGTAGTTTGTGCCACAATAAGGGACAAGATGAACAAGAATTAGTCATCAGAAACCCTGGAGGGGAGAACGTTATCCACCTGGAAGACACTGCTTGACAGTGGGGGAGACTCTGCCCCCTGCACAGCTGTAGCCTCACTGCGCCATTCCCTGCAACCCCCGTTGGGCACCTGCCCTGAGCAGACCCTGTGGAGATTAATGAAGGGCCCAGTCCAGGGCATCTTGGAAAAGCACAGAGAGCCCTTGGGGCTGCAGAGTCAAAAGGCAAAAGAGAAAATAAGGCATGGAGTTTCAAATTCCTCCACATTGTGAGAGGCTGAAAGTCTCAGGAGAAAAATGGGTGGGGAGATAAAAGCAGAAAGCATTAAAAAAAAAAAAAAAAAAAAAAGAAAAGAAAAGAAAAAAAGAAAGGAGAAAGCACATCTGAGTTTCTATCAATCATAAAATCAGACTTGATTCATTTTGGGGATTAAAAAACATGACTACAGAATTATTTGCAATATTTAGAAGGCAATACAGTAATTTGCATAGAAAATCTGGATGTGGTTGTGCACCTACTAATCTATGAAATCAGATCCAAATCTTAAAAAATGTTGCAGAGGCATCCAAATCCAAGCCACATTTGTCCCTGTGGAGAAAAGTGCCCCAAGGGAATGGAAGGAGAAGGTTGCAGAGAAAAGGAGTTCAAAGCCAAGTAACGCTTTAGGAGTGTTACAGAATCCCAGTCCTGGAGGAGACAGTGCCTCTCAGAGAAGGCAGAGGGGACGCTGCCTTAAGGAAATGTGTGTGTGCACCCTCGGTGCATGCGAAGACAGGGCACAGGAGGCCAGGAAAGCTGGGGACTGGAGCAGCTATGAGGCGCTGGGCTACTCCCTTCCCCACTTGGAGCTTCAGTTTCTTCACTGATAAAATGGGTCTGTCATTTCATGGGAACAGCAGATTCCCATGCATGGCCTTGCTGAGTGGATGGTGATGCTGCCCTTGTCCCAGGCTTGCAGGCAAATAGCCAGGTGTGAAATGTGGAAAGGTCTGCCTCAGATCCAAAACATGCATCTAAGAATATATGCAGTTTTTCCCTCTTGGTCTTTTTGAGACAGGGTCTCACTACGTAGTTTAGGCTGGCTTTGAATTCACTTGTTATTCCAAGTTGGCTTGAAACTTCAAAGAGCAGTCCTCCTGCCTCAGCCTCCTGAATGTTGGGATTATTGGCATGCACCACCATACCTAGCTATGTTCAGATTTCTATAGATGTACAGATATAAAACGTAAATATAACAGAAGGGTATTCCTGATCTTTTATGCTGGTTTATAACATTTTAATAGTTAACTATCATCGCCTGACAAGATGACTGTGAACATGATTGCAGTGATCACACGAATTCCCACTGGTTCATGCCCTACAATGAAAGCAGAACATTTAGATACCCTGCTCCCAGTGAGCCCAATTAGTAGATCTCTAAACCAAGAATGACAGCACCTTTAAAGAATGAGAACCCGTACCATTTTTAGCTGTGGTTGGAGGGTCCTTAACTCATTCCTAAGAGAGAAGTAATGTTGCAAAAAAACCTCCAAAGACTCACCAGGGCTTGCAGCTTGGGACAGTGAATGGAGAGTTGAATGAGTGTGCTGTCAGTTATCTGGAGAAAAACACGCTGTGTCAGTGTGGCTTCTACGTCAGATCTTAACACTGTACCTAGCCCTGGCTTCTCCTGAACATGGGAATCAAAATGTGTGAGAGAGAATTAAAAATGCATCCAAAGACACTGACCGGCAGGGAGTGCCTATCTTCCCTGACACCCTCAAATCTGCCTGCTCCTGGAGACAGAGAACTGAGCTTTGGTCTCACATCTGGTGCTTCAAGGGGACATAGGGACGGGGCAAAGAGGGAGCACCAAGAAGCGCTCCGGGGAGTCTCCTCTCCAGGTCACTGCACTCAGCATGGGATATACAAGCTTATGTCTCTCAAGTTCTGTGAAAAAGTAAAATGAGGCTTTTTTCATTTCAATGCATCGCAGATGAAGAAGCCTTCTTGAACTTACTTGTCTATGACTTTGTCTGATGACTGGGAATAGCCACAAGTTGGCACATCCCGCTACTGTGGTCCTACAGGGTTCCCTAAACCCTGCCACCTGTATTAAGCAAGAAGGGGCGAGGCCACAGGTGGTCTGTGGTCCTGTGGGATCAGGGGCTCTTCAGGGTCACTGGAATCTGCTCACCAGAATGCATTCTTCAAGATCCATCTTCTCCAGGTCATGGCAATTCTGAAAGAGTCCACAAGACACAAGTGGTCACTGGATGCTCACTTGGTCTTCTGAGTTCCAGCCAGGGCCCTAGCTGCTTCCATTCAATAGCGTGCCCTGCTCCTGGAGCACCCAGTGAGGCAGCACTTTGAGGTGGCGCCCTCTGAGTCACAGACAGCTTGGATGAATAGGTACAGGTAAAATGTAACCATTGGGCATAGGAATGGGGTACTCCGCCACGCTAGGGGGAGGAGGGGAGGTGAAGAGGAGTATGTTAGCATCCCCAGGACACAGGCTCCTAGCATCCATTCCACAGGGGCCCCCAGGGTGACCGTGGTGGTCTATGTTCACAAGGAATGTCGAAACTGGAGCGGAGGCAGAGCCCAGCTAGAGGAAGATGCAGAGTGGCCAGGTTGGGGTCCATATGGGAAAGGTATCGCCAGCTGGGCAAGGGGCTCCTTTAGGGTAGGCCCACCTGACCAAGTGAGACAGAGGTGTAGACCTTTCCAGAATCCTCCACAGGGAGGATTACTAGATATTTCTGGTCAACTGGAATAAACGCAGAGTACATCCCTAGGGTTTTATAGATTTTGCAGGATTTTTTTCCCCCTGAAGCTAGCTCTTCAGACCCCGAAACCCCAAACTAATCCAATTTTTTTTTTAGACAGAGTCTCACTATGAGTAGTTGAGACTGGCCTTGAACTCACTATGTAGCCTAGGCTGGCCTTCAGCTCTGGGCAATCCTCTTGCCTAAAGGATGGGGAGATGGCTCAGTGGAATAAGCTCTTCCCTGGCAAGCACAAGGGCCTGAGTTCAATCCCTAGTTCCAACAACAACAGCAAAAAGAAAATCCTGCCTAAACTTCACAAGTGCTGGGATTAAAGTGATACATCACCATGCCTGGCCACCCCAAGTTTTTTAATTAGGGAAGTGGTCTGATTCCCAAAAACCTATCCCTTACCCGAGCTAAAAGTGTAAAACCTGCATCAGTCAAATGGGTGCATCGGGCAGCCTCCAAAATTCTGGGAAGGGGGCATGATGGGGAGAGAAAAGTATCAGGTGGTTAACAACAGAAACACATACTTTACAATAAACACTCTTGATCTTATTCTGCTCTCTGACATACTTTAGCTTCTAGCTCTAAGGATTCTAAAGTACAAAAACTATCCCCACTGGACAGACGGGGAACAGGGAGGAATGCAGCTGCCCCAAACTCTATAGCATCATCCTGGTCACAGAGTAAATCCAGGAATCTTCCTGCTATAACAGCACATGCTGTCTAAATATCAAATATCTGAAGATGAACTTCTACTCAACAAAGTCATCATGAAATAGATTTAGTGTTTTTATTAAAATTCTGAGTTACCCAACAGGAAATTTAAAGAATTTATAGGCAGTGACAGGCAGGTAAATCTCGGTTACTATGCTCACAAGGAGAAAAATGCATAAATAACATTTCAAAGTTGAATACTCCCGTATAGCAATAATTTTGACCTGTTTTATGGCCAGGCTGATTGCTTGGTTTGCTTTTCCCTGTGTCTGTTTCTTTCCTCTTTTCCCTTTTCTGCTTTCTCTCTCTCTCTCTCCAGTGCAACCCAGCCCTGTCCTAAGCTTCCCGTTCTAAGCACACACCCTACCATTATGCTACCCCAGCACTGTTCTTGCCCACACTGCTCTTGCCCCTTCTGCTCAGCTGGCCATACTCACTGCATTCGCGGGCAGTTCAAGCCCAGCGCGGCCAAGGAAGCATCAGTCAGGTTGCTGCACCCAGAAAGGCTGAGGGCCTGCAGCTGGTGGCAGCCCCTGCATATCTGTACCACACCCTCATCTGTGATGCGCTGGGGAGAGAAAGCCAGGGAGAAACACTAGAAGCAGCAATACTGAAAAGGAGCAGTAGACAAATGAGATCTAATTGCTTGATTATTTTGTTGCCAATTACTATCACTTCCTCCTAATAAATTAAGGAGTAGAGGGCAGACCTGTACTTGTGTTAGTACATACATAGCTTTATCATAGTCTAGCTTTACTAATACAAAATGAAAAGTTAAGGTTCCATTTTTATTCTCAAGAGTGATAAAAACAGATACATATTTGATCTTTGCGGGGTAGAGGGACAAGGGAAAAAGGAAGTAGAAATGTGTTATTACACTTACCCCTATGGTGAGTGTAATCATTATGTACTGCAAACATTACTAACAACAGTGGAAAAATTTAACAAATTTTTTCAAGTTGATTTTTTTCCAGGGAAAACTTTCTGATGATAAAGCATGAGATTAAATGAAGAATTCAAAGACATCTGCTGAGTTAAATGCAGTATTAATATTTGGTTGCCTATCTACAGACTAGTACCTCAAGTAGCCACTATATAAACCACATATTTGTAAACTTATATTTCAAGTTTCTAGAGAATAGGAAAATTAAGTCAGTTATTGATAAATGCTGCAGCATTCTATTAAGTCATGAAGACTCAAATTAGTATCTTCACTTAAATATACTACTTTATGTAGAAATAAATATGTATATCTATACTAGACCTACATGAAGTTTGACATTCTGTTTCGCAACAGACCTTAGGTCCATAATGTAAAAACTTGTCCAGAAGCAGTTTGCTTTCTCTTTCACCATCAGGGGGTCCACAGATTTAAGATTCATTTGTTAAAAGCCAACTTCAAGGGCTTTCTCTTCTCTTTCTAAAAATCTGCTTCCCTTGAAAAGCCCAAAGGTTCCTGTAGCATCCTTTTTACTTTCCAGTGTCTACACCGCAGTGAAGGACCAAAAACAGGCCATTTTTATCGGCTATGTCCTGATGAAAATGTTACTTTGCTCTTAGATATGCCCTTTATTTTTTAAAACATTTCCACATTTGTTATTTTATTCCCTGCAAAATTAGACAGGCTATCATCCCCAATTTATTTAATTGAGGTAGGTGTTGAGATAAGGTCTTGCTATGTAGTTCAGGCTGGCCTTAAACTTACCATGTAGCCCAAGCTAAGGCTGAATTCATAGCAACCCTGCCTCAGCCTCCCAAATGCTGGGATTAGAGATGTGCACCACCACACCCAGTATCCTCCTCAAATTTTTATAAGTTACAAAAAAAGAAACTGACATCATATGATGAGCTGTTCAGGTCTAACAACTACCAGCAAGTTCACAGCATTTCTATTATCTTCCTCAATACTCTGAAAAAAAGTCAAGACCAAATTCTCCTTATTTTTAGGGGAAGTATCAGTGACTTTATATTAATGATGCTGCCTTGTTTTTCTTTCATCTCACAATAACACAGATCCTATAAAAACCCATGAAGACAACTCAGGCTGTGTCAACGTGGCTGTGTGCCAATCACCTGGCTGCATAGGGCTGGAGCAGGGCCCACCACAGCCTCCTGTGGCACGCACAGCAGGCTGCACCCCAGAAAGACGCTACTTACTGAGCAGGACTGCAGGTTGAGGCTCACAAGCTCATGACAGTAATTCTGAATATGTTTCAAAGCTTCATCTTCTAACTGAGCAGACAGAGAAAGCAGAAGAGGGTGAAATCCAGGCAACAGCAAATTCCCTGACACATAGACAAGCTGTATGGACGCTCCCATACCTGTGTGCAACCCCGCAGGAGCAGGGCTTTCAGGCACCGGCACCCTCGCACCAGCGCCTCAACGCCCTCCTTTGTGATCTGATCACACCAAGAGAGGTTCAGGTACTCCAGGTTTCGGCAGCCCTCGCTGAGAAAACAAAGGAAAAACACCTCTGTGTATTCCCTCTAGAAAGTGTGTTAATAACATTCAATTCAGGACATCACAAGCAATTCTGGGAGGGAGCCAACCCTAGGACCTACTGGCTGCCAATTTCTTGATCTAATGGTACCATGAAGAAGGCTTCAGATAATCCAGAATGGCTTTGGGTATTTTCTGGACCACGAACAACAGCCACTCCTACCTGATGCACTTTAAGGAGCTGTTAGTAATGGACACGCAGGAGGTCAGATCCAAGTGTTTCAGCTTGGAGCAGAATCTGCTAAGGCTATAGCATGTGCTGAAAAAAAGCAGGTGCACTAAAGATATTTTCAACCATGTTTCTCTCCCCAACCTCCCCCCAGCCCCTTAGTCCCTGCAGTCAACCTCACTACTTACTTGTCGGTGATTTTTGTGCACCCATTGAGGTTTAAATGTTCGATGTTTCGGCAGTTCTGTGCAAAAGTCCTGAAAGGAGAAAATGCTTTCAAACTGCCTGCAAGTTGCTGGGCAACCTCTAGAGGGCACATGTAACCACTGGCTCTGGAACCACTTTTCAAACTAACCAGCAAAGGAATCAGCTGAGACTCTAGTCACAGTGCAGATTCTCACAGTAGGGCCGGGGTGGAGCTGAGTAAGCCACACTCTAGGAAGTTTCCTCCTGATGCACCCCTGATAATCTAAGACCACACATGAAGAAGCCAAGCCCCACAGTGACTACTTATCAATGCCTTCTCCTTCAACCACACCTTGGTGAGTCCTCTGAGAATGGAGGCCTGGCTCTCTGACCTGTCTCCTTTATAGGAAAACCAACCCAAAGAAAGGGGTGAATCTTTCTTGTACTGTCAAGTTGTCACTGGTTACCCTGGGGACTTTCTAAAGAAACTATCTCTACCCACTGAGAGGAGTCAGCAATTTGATCAGTATCCAGATCCCTCTGTTTATTGGTGAGGATGAAGAGAAACTTCTATAATGATCTGTGGGCTGGTAGCAAATTAAGTATCCCTTACCACAGCTTAACATATTCAGCAAGGACTGCGGCTCATGTCACTGCATCTTCCTGAATATAGCTCTGACAATACCTTATAGGGTGGAGTCCTAACTCTTCCATGCAGTACCCAAAGCTTCTAAAACCTGGCCTTGCAACAGATGTCACCTTATTTGCTTCTTCTGACCTGCCAAAGTGCAGGGAGGGGGAACCAAATTGGAGATGAACTCTGATGTGAGTAGATGGTGCTGAAATCCAGGAAGCCCACATTGGCTAGAGTGGAGAGCATGTCACACTGCTTTGGGTATTTTCTGGACCATGAACAACAGCCACTCCTACCTGATGCACTGTAAGGAGCTGTTGGTAATGGACACGCAGGAGGTCAGATCCAAGTGTTTCAGCTTGGAGCAGAATCTGCTAAGGCTATAGCATGTGCTGAAACACCCCAGGGTCTGTAGAGGGTGCCCCCAGAAATTCAACAGAGTGCTGGCCAGTATACAAGGAAACTTGCCACAGCTGAGCAACCATCTAAAAGCACTGGCAAGAACAACAGCAGAGCTCAGCCAGGATGATGAACACTGGCCACGCTGACCAGCCTAGGAAGCAGGCAATATGTGGGGCCTTGAGTACAGTACTGAGACAGGTCTTCCTTCAGGAGCAGAAGACTATTATCCTTAAACCAGTGACAGCAAACCTTTTAGAGAATGCCCAAACTGCAACCCAAAACCTTTTATTTGTTCATCGCCAAGTGCCAACACTGCAATTAAACCTGAATACTGAGGTTTGAGTCTATAAAAAAGTCCATCCATGAACATCTTTTGTCTTAAAGAAAAACACAACAGAGCTTTCCAATGATACAAACAGCTTTTAGAGAGGTAAAGGTCTGCATTTGGTGTGCTTTTGTGTATGATTTCCCCCCTGCCAGGGTGGTGCTGGCTGACTTGGGTCACATGCCAATGGCTATGCAGGCTGCTGTGGCACACGTGCCTCAGGTTTGCCTCCACTGCCCTAGACTAAATCTGCTTTAGTTCAACCTAACAAATTTTTTTTCAATGCTGAGATGAAACTAGTCTTGTGTATGCCAGGCAAGTGCTCCATGATTGAGATACATCCCAACCCCAAACTTGGCAAATTTTAAGAATAAGATTTAAAAAGTACTATTCCCAAGCTGGGAAATGGTACACCAGTAGAGGCTTAATTTTCAGATCAGTGCTTGTTTTTGCACACAGCACAAAGTTCAATCTGTCCTTCCTGGCTTGTATCCAGCACTGCCTTTTACTCCTGTGTGACCTAAGTTTTGTTTAGCATCTTCTTCCAGAACAACCCTGTTTCACTAAAGGTGAACACTTGCTGAGTGATGTATTCTTCTGTGTTCATGAATTCCAGAAGCTCTCTAGCCAGCTTGTACTCATGTCTGAGCCTCCCCAGTGCTGGGATTACAGGTATGCGCCCCCACGCCCGGTTTCGGTGGCCAGCATGGTGCACCTCGGGTTCCAGGGCCAGCAGAGCATGCGATGTTAGGGATTGAACCTGGGTCCTTGCACTTGCCAGGCAGGCGCTTAGATCACCAAGTTATCTCTCCAGCCCCTGGAAATTCTTTCTTATAGGCTTCTGCAGTGGCTTTGTCAGAACTGGAAGCTTCACCATGTCTATCACACTGGAATGCTAATTCTCTTGGGGAATTTATCAAACTACCCTCTATTAACTTTATTTTTTGAGACAGGGTCTTGCTATGTAGTCTAGGCAAGTCTTGAACTTACTACGTAGCCAAGGCTGGACAGGAACTTTGAGCAATCTTCCTGGCTCAGTGTCAAAAGTGATGGGTTTACAGACATGTACCACCATGCCTGGCCCTGTATGGGCTTTAAATTCACCATTTATTGCACTTATAAAGGTGTTTCTTGTAAGAAATCACTATGCAAGGGCTGGCCAGATAGCTCAGCAGATTAAAGCACCTGCTTAGACAGACACAGGCGCCAAGGGTTTGATCCCTGGCGTGCAGTGCTGGCCCTGCCCCCAAGGCACACTGAAATGGAGATTGAGACTGGGTGTGGTGGTGCGTGCCTATAATCCCAGTGCTTGGGAGACTGAAAACAGGAGGAGCACTATGAGTCCAATCTAGGAAGTGAGACCCTGTAGACCCTGTACTAAATACATTAAAAAGAAAGAAAGACAGACAGACAGACAGACAGACAGACAGACAGACATCACTATACAATTTCCTGGCTATTTCATAGACCAGAGCTGTGCTGGCACTGTCACCTGCCAGTTGTATCTCATTCAACCACAGTAACAAAGGTTTTCCACTTCTTCCGGCATTGTGTCCTCCGCTTGGTTAACATCTTTACTCCACAGCAACTACTTTGATGGCTTTTATTCTTTTGTGTTTTGCAATAGAGTGTCTTTGTGCAGTTTAGGCTAGTCTTCAACTCATTATGTAGCCCAGGCTGGTCTCGAATTCAAGGTCATTCTCTTGCCACAGCCTTCCGAGTGCTAGGATTACATGCATATGCCACCACATCTGGTTTATGGCATTTTTATTCTTTAAAATAGTGGAACTTGTTGATTCCACCATCTTGTACTCTGCGGCCAGATCATGCTTTCTACAAATACCAAATACCACACTCACACTTTTCTACAATTTCCTTCTTCAGTTCAGTGGTTATGTTCTCTAAAACCTTCTTACCACTCCTGCTCTGCACATTTTGGTCACCTTCATTACCATTCTGCACTTTCTTTTTACCAACACGCTTGCTCTGCACTTTCTCTGGCACTGTGATAATTGAATAGTGCTGCACAGTACTGAATATGCTAGAGCATGCACAGAAGCTTCACAGCAAGTGTGCACAAGTCTGTCTGTGACTGTGATCTCAATGAGAGGAAGCCACAACCACATGTCAGGGCAAGGAAGATGGTCACATTCATGTTCATGCAGGGAAGGTGGCTGAGGCCATGTTTGTCACTCAAGGTGAAGTTTGCAAACCGAGGCAAAAAGTTGCTAAACATTTCTGTTCATGAACTGAACTGTTTGCAGAGACATTCATGAACTGAACCATTATTGTAATGTTTCCATATTTCCACAGAATACAGATCTGTGAAACTCAAGATTAAATAGGTTAATTTGTAGAGACATAAAAGATATTATTTTTTATTTTATTATTTTTTTTTGTAGTATAGGATCTACAGAGTCTCACTACACAGATTGGATTCATAGTGATCCTCCTGTTTTCAGCCTCCCAAGTGCTGGGATTATAGGCATGTGCCACCACGCCCAGTCTCAGTCAACATTTCAGCATGCCCCAGGTGTAGGGCCAGCATACCGGGGATTGAACCCAAGCCCCTGCGTCTGCCTAAGCAGGCGCTTTAATCCACTGAACTATCTGGCCAGCCCTATAAAAGATATTTTTAAAAGACCCAGATTACACATTTAAATATGACACACAGAAAAGAAAGAAGGAAGAGAAGGAAGAAGGAAAAGGAGGAGGAGAATACAAAAAGGCTTATCATAACCAAAATTATCCAAACCAGTTAACAGAAAATCTGAGGTCAGTCAGAGATCAATGACATGAGACATATTAGTATTGGGGGAAAACAAAGGTGACAGATTTCTCAACATTAACTACCCACCACCAAAAAAGAGAAAAGAATGAAAGAAACAGAGAAAGAAAGAAATATGCAGGCCCAGATAGCCTCAAGGATGAATTCTATCAAACACTTAAAGGAAAAAATTTCT